TCATTCTACCAATACACCCCTCAATAATTACAAATATTTCAAATTAAATTATGGAGATAGTAATCTGTTTACTTGTATTTTTAATTTCGGCAAAAATCATTTTTGTCCCAATATAATTAAAATTCATCAATTTTGGTCTCAACATAAAAATCATATCAATTTTGGTCTCAATATAACTATTAACTCATCGTTTTTGTCCAAATATAACCAAAACTCATAATTTTTGGTCAAAATATAAATTTTTTTATCGATTTTAGTCCTAGTATAACCAAAAACTCATTATTTTTTCTCCAAATATAATCAAACCTTATATTTTTTTGTCTCACCGTCAACAAACTGACGGAAAATGTTGACGTGAAAAGAAATCAAACCTTATATTTATATTTGAAGAAATTGCAGAATCTTGCAAGTCAACGCCAATATTTTTCATCGGTTTATTGACGGTAAGACTAAAAAAGATAAAGTTTAATTATATTGGGACAAAAAATGATGAGTTTTAGTTATATTGTGACGAAAATTGATAAAAAAAAATTATATTGGGACCAAAAATTATGAATTTTTGTTATATTTGAACCAATTGATAAAATTTTTATATTGGAACCAAAATTGATAAAATTTGGTTACGCTGTGACCAAAAATAATTTTTTTCCTTTTAATTTTATAATTTTAGTTTTAAATGTTTTATTCAAAATATTCTATTTAAAATATATTTATACAACATCATACTCTTTATATTCTTTTCAATAATATTTTCAAAGTAACATAAATATTCAAAAGACGATACTTACAAAAAGATATAATAATTATTTAACATGTGAGTGCTACAGAACCTCCACCGCCCCCCCCCCTACCCCCCCCCCCCCCCCCCCCCCCCCCCCCCCGCCCTTATATATTAAATCAATAAAATTAAATAGATAAAATCCGTATTGATTATAATTTGAATTTAGTCCCTTCCGTCGTCCACGCCTTTTATTTATTTATTTATTTAATTTTTTGGTTGATAGGACTAAAGGCGTTGCCTAACCTTAGCTACATACCTTGTCTGTATATTTCAAGTCAAAATTTTATACCTTATTATATTATATGTATATAATATATTAGTCATTTTATTTATTAATTTAATGTAGCTAAAATATTACTATATGACTCTCAGACCTGAGTCTTACAATATTGGAATCCTATGTGTACAGTAAGTATTTGGGTTGTTATACTACGAAAATTTAAAATATATATATATATATAAATTGTTATAATATATGTTTGAGCACGCATATTTAATCATTTATTTTATTATCTGATTTTATAATAATTAGGTCGCATAATTTAAATAAAAAATAAAAAATTGTTGTTATAAGACTAAATTACAACAATAAAACAATAATATATAGCCATATGTATACATACTTAATTCTTTGTATATAGATATTTAAATAAAAATAAAAAATCAAAGTCAAAATACAACCTAAATACACATTATATACTTCATCCGTCCCAAACACTCTGCAACATTTTCAAATTTAGAGATAATTAATAATATTTATGTACATATATTAATATATACTTCACTTTATCCCATTACATCACTCAAATAAAAAAATAAATAATTATTTCTCTTTCCAATCACATCACTTAATATCCAAATTATCTCAAATTATCGTACTTAATACTTTCCACCTAAATTCCCGTGCCAAACACAAATATTGCACGATATTTAGGACGGATGAAGTACTTTTTGGATGACGTGTTATATACTTGTGAACATTGCACATGGAGAGTACATATTGTTGTATACATTCTTTTTATTATTTTACGTGACGTATTGTCGTCATATATATTATTGTCCTTATTATTAGATGTGTTAGCCGTAAATAAATTTTTGTCATGGCATAAGGCTCTATTTATATATACTAAAGAACTAATTTTAGGACTATTTATTAATAGTATTATTTTTAAAATATTAAAATATCTATTTTATTATATAAACTATCACATATTTGCAGTTTTATTATTCAACAAAATTTCAAAAGGTTCCAAAACTTCATAAAGATAAAAGTAAATCCATATGATGAAGGTGTGTAAATTTAAATAATATTACTATTCTATATGTTCCAATTCAAATATTTTTTTTTACTATTTTAATATGTTTCGTTCAAAAAAAAATTATTTCAACAAAAATAATTATACATTAATACCAAATATCATAAATTTTTATTTAAATTACAAGAATATTATTCTACATATAATAATTATATACATAAAGTCAAATTATAAAAATATCAAAATTTTGTGTGCACTTTTACTAATCAATAAAATACTACTACATCCGTCTCGTAAGAAGATTACTATGAGCTTTCTGGATATTTGAGTATTAATTATTATATCAATATATATTAAAAATTAAGAAAAAATGACAAAAATACCTATATTAATATCTTATAATACAAATACAATGACATTTATAAAATAAATTATACAAATATAAAAATATTTTTAATGTTAAATACAATAACGCAAAAAACAAATGATACTGATTTTATAGGACGAAGATAGTACTCCCTCCGTCCTATAATAAAGTATCAATTTTTTCATTTTAGTTCGTCTCATAACAAAGTATCTATTTCTTTTTTTAGTAACTGTACTGTCTGCTTAACATTATAAATACCACAACAACTTACAATATATTACATAAATATCATTACCTTTATATAACACCATACTAATAAGGTTATTTTAGTCATTTCTACTTTATTTCTATTATATTTCAATACAATATTAATATTTCTAAAACTATGTAAAAAAAAATAAATGAATATGTAATTAGGTACGAAAAGAGTATTATTTTTTTTAATGTAATACAAAATTTTAAAATGATAGATTGTGCTTAGAACGAATAACTATAAAAGTAATTTTTTAATTGACTTGATGGTTTCGCTTCATTCAGACGTCACTACATGGCGTGAGGATCAATAAAAATATAGTGACAAATATTGAAGAATTATTTTAAGAGAAATTGTGATCCATTTATATAATAGGTGAAGATATATAGGTAATGTCGTTTATTTGTCATTTTTTTAAAAAAAAATAAAAGATTTGTTTGTTTGTGATATATATGTATTTTGTGTTTATATATTTTGAATATAAAAATAAATTTTTATATTTCAGTTCTAAAAAACAGTACATATTAATTATAATAACAATCAAATAGTAAAAATAAGTCAAAATTTTTAAAAACGTTTAAAATAAAGTTACTACTATAACTATAATACATATAAATATATCTTTCTTAAATATATATTAACACTCACCTTCAAACTCAATATAAGATCAGATAAGCTAATTTGAATTTGACAAGAAAGATCTAAGATAATGTAATATAACTAAAATCATCAATTAAGTTAAAAGTTGAATATTAGAATTAAAATTGTTAATTGATCGTTTCACTAAAAAGTTTATACATATTTTTTTTAAAAAATATCATTAATTACAAATTATATAACGTTCCGGCACGAGTCAATGTCAAAGTGGTCGTTACAGTAGAAGGCTCTTAATGTTTGATAATTTTTTAGATATAACAAGTATGAAACATAAAATATATATATATATATTTGAATAAAACTTTTTTGTTCAATATGAAATTAATTTTTTCTAAAAGAAATTGTAATAAAAATTACAAGTCAAATACTCACAATGTCGGATTATTTATATATATAATATATATGCAACTATTCTTTAATTTTAAATGAAAAAGTATTGTCCTCAAATAAGTATAGACAAAGTCTTTTTCTATTTCGTAAAAGTTTTGAAATTCAACCAATGAATTTAGAAGGGTGTGACCTGAAAAAATATTTAATTTTGTAGTTCGATCAATTGTTAGTATTAAGGGGTGACGGTGCAATCAAACAAAAATCGAATCTTTATTAGATTTGGTGATTGTAAAATTCATTCCCACATAATATTTAATATTGTTGACCAAAATAGTATTCCCAATTAATCGAAGTGTGTGTACTAATTTTAACTTCACTATTTAATTTGCACATCATATGCTAATGTTAGAAAAAAAAAAAAAAAAAAAAAAGGATTGAGTTTAAATAAATAAATTTTAAATATTTTATATTAATTTAAAAACAGTAAAATGTTAATAAAATCAGCATGAAAGGACAGTATAAAACTGTATTGAATTATATAGCTGGAATTTATTTTAATTTAAATGTTATAATAATGGATCTAGGAAGCATGTCCGTACAGAAAATACAGCAGGCAGAAATTTGAACAAAAAGGATGGCGCCGCGCCCGACAGGGAGCTTATCCCACGTGGCGGTCGTGGTCAAAAACGGTGAAGACACGTGTCTCGCCGACGTTAACCCCAGTTTGAAATATTGACCGCCGTATAGCTACCACATTTCTCCGTCGTTGACTTTGGTACCACAACAACAACGACACGTACAACATGCCTAAGCTGCTAGTTAATGAGTAATGACTCTGCTCCAATCATGGCTAAATAATAATATACTATTAAATTTACTCTTTTCCATAAACCTAATTAGGGTTCAGCACATTATTCAATTAAATTAAACTAAATGGGATCAATTATTCTTATAATTTTTTTAAAAAAATATAAATCAACATTATATAATATGATTTGTGGATAGGTGTGGATCCAAACCATTTGATCAAGCAGCAAAGATGGAATAATAATCCTTTTCAAATTCGTGGCAAGTAACACCACTGTCTTTTTTGAGTTTTTTTTTTTATCAACCTTATTTTTGTCAAACCATCTTTATACAAATGGGGCCCATTAGTTCTTTCGCTAGATCCACGCCGCTGGTTCTCACACATATGGACGGTGTGGATTTGTCTGGATCTGGGATCCCGGGAGTTCCTAGAATAATTCTCGAATAATTTACTACAACCAGTGACCCTAATGAAGATCTTTCTATTCGTCTTAGATGAATTTAATTAATTAATTAATTAAAGACAGTGCATATATAGCAAATTGAAGCTCTTGCACGTCAAGTTCCCTATTTTCTTCCTCTTCGTTTTCTGCTGAATTCCCAATCGATTCTGCCATGGCTGAAGACTTCAGAGAGATCTACTATCACCACCCCTTTCACGACGACCAGCGCCGGAACTCCGCCGGAGACGTCGCGTTTGGGTACTCCGGCGGCCATTCTTCCGCCTTCGCCGCCGACCAGTCAATCACTGCTGCCATGTTCGATCCTTCTTATAACCTAAGCTTCACCAAATTCCTGCACGAGTCGACAGATCAGAACTCGTTCTCGAGCGGCGCCGGCGCCGGCTTCGCCTTTCCGGCGACGATGTCGGCGGAGGCATTCGCAGTCCTCGGGAAAGAGGAGAAGCCCGCAGCGGAGGGCGTCGGAGGCCGCGAAACTCCGGCTACGACGAACTCGTCGTCGATATCGTCGTCGTCGACGGAGGCCGCCGCCGCCGCCGACGAAGACTCTAAAAAGGACGGCAAGGAAACCGGCGCCGAAGAGGACTCGAAAAAAGAGTAGGTTAATATATATATATAAATTAGATACTGCTTGCATTGTTTTTCTATTGTTATTAATCTATCGATTCTTCGGTTTCATTTAATTAATTTATATATATATATGTATATATATATGATTGAAATTAGGGTTGGTAAAACGAAGAAGAAAGCAGGAGAGAAAAAAGAAAGAGCTCCTCGATTTGCTTTCATGACAAAGAGTGAAGTGGATCATCTTGAAGATGGATACAGATGGAGGAAATATGGTCAGAAAGCTGTCAAGAATAGCCCTTATCCCAGGTCACTATTTCTTCATCATCATCATCATTTCTCCTTAATTTAATTTAATTTTCAATTCATTACATGTTTTTTATATGATTAATATATATATATATATAATTAAAATGTGAAAAGAATCAATAATGTTCATGCAGATCGATGTTTACCCATTCATCAATTTCTCCCAGAAAACAAGGGGACGATTGATGACATAAATACTGCATTAATTCCTCACAGTGTTCGCTTAAAACAAGCACATATATATAATACATGCTTCATCTCAAAGCAAATTAAATCAATCCCAAAATTAATTAATCAAACCAGTCAATAATTGTCACATGCACACATTTTATTTTTACTTCTGTTTCAATCAATGAATCAATCAATTAATTAATTTATTTATTAATATTAATAATTTCTGGTTCGTTTTGATCGATGATCATTCAGGAGCTACTACAGATGCACGACCCAGAAATGTCCGGTGAAGAAGAGGGTGGAGAGATCGTACCAGGACCCGTCCACCGTCATCACCACCTACGAAGGGCAGCACAACCACCACGTCCCCGCCACGCTGCGCGGCCAAATGGCCGCCGGAATGTTCGCCTCCTCCTTGCTCCACCACCACCCGCCGCCGGACCTGTTTCTGCAGATGCCTGCAGGTCGCCATAGCCATAATAATCTCTACGGTTACGATCCCTGCAGTTCCAACAGTTTGTACCAATTTCAACAGCAGCAACAACAACAACAACTGCAGCAGAATTTGACCCTAAATCAACTGCAATTCCAGCATCAGCTTCCTGACTATGGACTACTGCAGGATATGTTCCCCAAATCCCAGCCCTAGCTAATGAAATAAAAAAATTTTCAATTTCTCTAATTCATCGTCACATTTTCGATTATTTTTATTTTTTGATTTCTCACTCTTGCTTCTGACCAGACATTTTTATATATATGATTATTATCGTATCATTTCGTGCTATATGGTTTCTCATACTTTTCATGTGTATACAATACAATGCTCTTATCTCTATGTTGTATGTATATGTATACGTACATATGTTTTTAGTAAGTGTATATAGATATAGATAGAGAGAAGTAATTTAGTTGTTTTTGGAGTTTGAAAATTTATTATAAATAAATAAAAAATATATAGATATTTGATATAATATTTTTTTTAGAATTATAATGAATAATTTAAAATTTTAAAAATTGTATACAGAATAGAGCCTCATCCCATGAGATCCTCTGTCCCAAAAATAAACATATCCCCATATACACACACTAATATATAGACACGTGTATATATACACATGTGTGTGAAAATAAGGGATATGGTGTGTTAATGGGACAGAAGATCCAGTTTGAGCCTCATGCATTTCTGACACACATCGTTTAATTTGTATATTTGGGGTGTGTTTGTTTGGGGGATTAGATTAGATTTCTACTGTTCATCCCATTTTCTCCCAAAAATATCAAATTAAATATCTATTTTTTATTTTTATATTATATTAAAAATCAATTTTACGTTCAAAACATCACATCAACACTTATTTATATTACATCGTACAACTATTCAAATACAAATTTTTTACTATTCAAATCCCAATTCAAAATCCAAAACCCCCCAAACAAACACACCCTTGCTAGAAATGATTTTATATGCTACATGTTCAAACATTTTTTTAATTGACTTTTTGCGGGTGTTTTTATCCTCTAATCAAAATGATTTTAGTCTATAATTATCTTTGGGTCTTATTTTTGTTTTTTTTTTTTTCACAATATTCTTATTCAACTGCAACAGCAACATTTGATCATTAATAGGATGAATGAAATAAATTTGACCCATTTATTTTCTGTTTAAATGCATTCCACTTTCTCTAGTACTCATTCACACTTATATATATAAAAAATAAAAAATAAATATTTGATTTAATGTTTTTGGGTAAAAAATGGGATGAATACAACCCCCAAACAAACACACCCGTGTTTTCGGTTTTTAACTGTTGAATTCTTTTAAATCTCATTATCATATATTTTTTTATTAAAGATAATAATTACTTTACTGAAAAATTATCAATTAAAAATTGCAAAAAAAAAAATTATCAATTACATATCAAATTTTTTTCTTCTGACACTGTCATCAAGGAATATTAATAAAGAAAAATATAATACATATAAACACTCATATAATATAAGTAATATATATTTTTTATTCTTCACAAAAATTTAACCATTCAACAAAAATTATTATTTTTTATTTTATAAACACAACTCATCATACCTCACCTAAAAGGACTATTAAAATACTAAACGAACACACCCTTTGTTTACTTGAATTTAATTTAAAAAAGATTTCATGTCTTAAAAAATATGGAAGTAATTACAGTGTTAATTAGGAAGGTTATTTAATCAGCAGCTTCGAGTACACTGCATACTAGGAAAAATAGATTAAAAGTTCAGACAACACCAACAAAAGTCTAGATAGAAAATTATATATATATATATATATATATATTAATACAATACAAAATATAATAAAAAAATGAATAACACACTATATACTCCTATAGAATACATAACATCGTGATGATTTACTAAAATAGAATCGATTTACAGATACTTATCTGTCGGGCCTAGTTTGCAGGGTATTAGGTTCAGTCGGGGTTTACCTGGTGCACACTTTCGGACAGCGGCTACGAAATTTCACGTTATAAAAAAAAAATCGATTTACAAATACATAAAGTACCGATAAAAAATCTAAAAATTACACATTTTAAATATTACAAATGCTCTTATTACACAAAATATGTGTTATCTGTACTCTTGATGGTTGGTTTAAGGAGTCTTGATAGGTGTTGTCTTGAAAAATCAATACAGTGTTGTTGTTGTTCGCAAATCAAATAGTAACTCTTTTATTTTTTTTCTCCTTCTCTTCTCCCCAACCGATTGTTCTTTCTCCATCTTCTTTATTCTTTCTCAATTCTTCTCCACGCGGCCACAGGTCCTCAACCCCACTCAGTTATTTTTTTTCTTCTTTTTTTCTAATTTTTTTAATTGAAAAAAATAAGAAGAGAAAGAAGACGACGGACAAAAGCGACTGGAGCAGAGAAGAAGGGGAGGAAGAATAAAAAGAGAAGAAAGAAGATAAGGTAAAGAAAAAGACGAAGAAGCGGTCTAGACCGGATGAGCCATATTAGGTTTTTTTCTCTTTTTATTTTTTCTCAAATTTTCTTCCTTATTATTCTTTCTCTCTTTTTTTTTTCAATTTTCTTTTTTCTTTATTTTTTATTTTTTCTCCCCAATTCTTCTTCACACGCCCTCAACCAGCAGAACAAAGTTCTTTTCCTTTACTTTTTCCTTCTTGTTCTTCACCGTGGCCGCCGGTTTGAATTCGGTCTTTATTTGAACCATAACCACCTGTTCAAGAACCAGAGAACCAGCTGTTTGGAATCAGATAACACTTATGCATTCGCATCTTAAATTTGGTTGTGTTTAGGGAATTTAAAATAAAAAAAATAAAATTGAGATTAAATTTTAAAAGCAATAAAGAAGAAGAAACTAAGGTTATTTTAGTAATTTTATAAAAAATTCATTTCAGGGGCTGACATACCACTGCTGCGGTTAAATCCTAATGAAGGAGATTTTTTTGCAATATTTTAAAAATCATAAGTAGATTTTTTTTTAGAATTTTAGAAATACCGGTAATTTTCACCAAATTTGAGAAATTACATAGAATGTTTTTTGCTATTTTGCCAATTTAAACTAAACAAATTTCATAATATTAATTCTACGTAAATATTTTAACTACCTAATACCGATTTTTTTTATTCATATGAATAAATAAATTAATAATAAGGAAAAACAAAATGGTACGATTAGCATCAATATAGTCGGCCAATTTTGGTATAAACCGGCACTTTGTCGATTTAGTAATAACTTTTATTTGTACGGGTCACATCTAATTATAAGTATTTGCTTCATTTCTACTCATTACCCATACCTAATTATTATTGATAGTAAAACTGAATAAATGTTGGTGTTTTATTTTACTAATTTTAACTAAACAAATTAATTAGGAATTTTAAATTTCACAATAAATAATACTCAGCAAATAAGGAAAAATAGTGGGAAGGGCATGTTTGTGTTGTTTAATTATGGAATAAGATTTTTGCTGCAAAACTGAAGTAGAAATTTTTAAAAACAAACAGGACGTAACAGCGGAAAATAAATACTGGGGCTGGGAGAGGGCCACCCACCCCACCCACGGCGGTTGGTCTGAACGACAGCAGAGAGGGAGACGTCTTGGCAGAAGGAGTTTCGATAATCAATTCTTGAAGCAAACGACGACGTCCACATCGACTTACTGACTTGTATTCACTCGTTCGTTGCTGTTCCCTGTTGCTTCAGATCTCTGCTTTCCTTGCTCTGTTTCGGGATCTTGTGTTATATATCTCGTGTTTGTGTCTGTGTTGGGGGCACGGTGGCTGCTCGACTGTTGTTCGGCTAATTGATCCATGAGATTGTTGTAGATTTGTGAGTTTGGTTGTTTGATTTTTCGATTTTGCTCGGTCGTTGCGGCAATGGCGGTGGATTCTGGGCCTGTGACGCCAGGACAGGTGCGATCTCGGCATTTGCAATTCCGCCTGCTGTATTGTGATTTTTGAGTTTTGGCTTTTGCTGAACTGATTTCTGTGGTTTGATTATCTGAGTTGTGGAATGCAATTTGTTGTTAGAAATCTTTGGGAATTGTATATGAAATTACACTGTTGTTGGAATTCTATTGGTTCCCGAGGCAATGGCGGTGATTTTGGGGGACTTTTATTGGAAATCTATTCTTAACGATAAATCATAAAAAGGTTTTTCCACTAGTTGTAGAATTGCGGTGTTATGTATATGCAGTTGATGTAGTAGTTACTTCGTGATATTAACTGTTAAATCCTAAAATATTCACATTGAGAGGAATGTTTTGGAATTTGTTCTTAAAAAAGGTGGGGTTTCCACTTAAATCTTCTCTTGATTTCACGCTTCGGATGGATGCAGACTCATGATCTTCTATGGATTCGTAATATTATGAAATGCCTGGACAATTGTGTTTTGTTTTTGTGTATGCCATTTTTCTTTCTTTTGGTATAGCTCCATATGAGATATCACATTTTCCTTTCCATTTTCATGAGTGATAAATACTTACGATTTACTGATTAACTTTGCATTTCTTCAAAAGTTCACTTCAAACAACAATGAATAGTTAGACGGACCTCAACAACTTTAACTAGACAGTGGCTCCTGAGAACATACTTAAGTGTACTAAACATGGAGTGGATGATATCAATGAAGTTTCATGTATTTTTTCTTTGAATTTTCTAGACTGGAATGTATTTTTGTTTCTGACAAATAGTATGATATTTTGGTGAAATGCACTCACATTTATTTGGGAAATGTAATGTTTGAGTCTATTTTTCCCACTGGCAATACATGCTGTGGTACCAATGAACTGTTTTATTAAATTGATTAACTTGTGCATTCTTATCCCTGGCTATATGGTTTATCCTTGCTATTTTATCTTTTTCATTTTTATTCTTGCTATAGTGTGAGACTTTCGATTTTGATTCTTAGGTGTCTTTTATGCTTGGAATCATCCCAATTTTTGTTGCATGGATGTACTCTGAGTGGTTGGAGTTTAAGAAGTCATCGTCCCTATCAAAAGTGTAAGCACCTATACTTTTCCTGCCATTTGCTAATTTCCAAACCTTAAAGCTAAAAAGTATGGTATGGTGGAGGAATTAGAGGATTCTTTTTGTTATACACTGAGGATGCTGTTATTGTTATTGTGGTTTTTAATTATCTTTTTCTTCTTCTATATAGTCATTCAGATAATAACTTGGCTGAATTGGATAGTGAAGCAGTCCCAGAAGATGAACGAACGGTCTTGATGGAAGGAGGCCTATCTAAATCAACATCAGCAAAGCTAACTAGCCCCTCAGTTAAAACAAACTTAATTAGGTTGGTTGGTTACTTTCATTCACAATGCTACGTATAATATATATATATATATATACATGCATTCAATTAGGCAAGTTTTTTTTTTCAGTTACGCAAATGCTATCTTATCAATTGTCTTTGCTTGCTTTCTAGGTTTCTAACCATGGAGGATGCATTTTTACTTGAAAACAGACAAATTTTAAGGACATTGTGAGTTGGTAGATTATTTTCATTGTGTTCCTTTTGCTAATTTTAGATTGTTAATTGTAACTGTTCCTGTGCAGGGCTGAATTTGGTGGAATTTTATTTTACTTTTACGTATGTGACCGGACCAATTTTTTTGCAGATTCAACAAAGGTGCTCAACATTTCCCAATACGTTCAAAACACATCATTTATATTCTACCTTATTATTATAAGGAGTATATTAGTCCATTTTTGTTACGTCAATGATTAACAAGTTATCACACTAACTATTTATTCCACTCAAGTCAAAATTACATTCATCATTATCTTGGCTTACTCTTCCTCTACTCATTTTATTGATTTTTCTGTTGTCTGACAGAGCTACAATCGCGATCTCTTTCTATTTTTGTACATACTTCTCATCATAGCTTCAGCAATGACATCTCTTAAGAAACACCATGATAAGTCAGCATTCTCTGGGAAAGCAATTCTCTACCTCAATCGTCATCAGACTGAAGAGTGGAAAGGATGGATGCAGGCAAGTATTCCTAGCTAGTGAAATGATGTCAATAAATTCTTTATAAAATGTTGGATTAACAAATTGAACGATAATTGCCTCGCTTATGTTTCTAGGTTTTGTTTCTGATGTACCATTACTTTGCCGCGACGGAGATATACAATGCGATTCGTGTTTTTATTGCTGCATATGTATGGATGACTGGGTTCGGAAACTTCTCGTATTATTATATTCGCAAGGATTTTAGCCTTGCTCGATTTGCTCAGGTAACACGATTGCCATTTCTTTTCTAACCTTTCTTTTTTTGGTTTCATTACCCAAAATTCGAATGTGCTGTTTATGCAGATGATGTGGAGGCTCAACTTCTTTGTGGCATTCTGTTGTATTGTGTTAAACAACGACTATATGCTATATTACATCTGCCCAATGCATACACTCTTCACTCTTATGGTGTACGGTGCCCTAGGCATTGGCTACCACTATAATGAGATAAGATCGGTTATCATTCTGAAGATTTTAATATGCTTTCTTGTGGTTATCTTTGTATGGGAAATTCCTGGAGTTTTCGAGATCTTGTGGAGCCCTCTGACTTTTATTTTAGGTATATATATATATTACTATAATATCATTTGATTTCTACTGTGTGGTTTCTATTCTCTGATAAAAGTAATTCTTATTGAATGGAGTTGTGTACTAGTTTTCTGTATATGGAACTTTTCTGGTTCAATGATCTGGAAACCTGAAGTTGTTGATATAATTGATAGGATATACGGACCCTGCAAAACCAGATCTTCCTCGTCTCCATGAGTGGCATTTTAGGTCTGGGCTTGATCGTTACATATGGATTGTTGGCATGATCTATGCCTATTTCCATCCAAATGTAATGTTTTAAGATTGGAAATACTGCTGATGGATTCCTTTCATGGATGCGAGAATCACACATTATTAATCATTATTATTTTTCATTGCAGGTTGAAAGATGGATGGAGAAATTGGAGGAGGCTGATGCCAAACAAAGACGAACAATCAAGACAACAATTGTTTCTGTAGCTGTTGCGGTAAGCATTTCACTAAGCAAGGGATTTTAGATTGTTTTGTTTACGACTTCTAATTAAACTTGTGTCGTGTATAGGTTGGTTACTTGTGGTATGAATACATTTACAAGCTCGACAAGGTTGAATATAACAAGCTCCACCCATATACATCATGGATTCCTATAACGTCAGTAGTACTAAAATGTTGCTATTTCACTATCATGATAATATTATTGTTAACCTTACTCAAGTTGAGTGCTGGCAGATCGGAACTTTCTTCAAGCATCTTGCTAATTTTTAATTTTTTAATTTTTTCTCTTTTCATTCAGCGTCTATATATGTTTGCGGAATTGCTCCCAGCAGCTTCGGAACTTCTCCTTGACCCTCTTTGCGTAAGTTTCACCCTCCTTTTCTTCTTCTTATTATTTTTTTTAATAAATATCTTGTGAACTTTTAAATCTTGTTCACCAAGTGGAGGTTTTATCTAATAGGTGGCTTGGAAAAATTACGTTGGAGACGTATATATCGCAATTTCACATCTGGCTGAGGTATGCTGGATACTTACTATCTTTCACATCTTACCATGTCTAAATACTTCAAATGGATACAGTTGATGAAAACTCATACTTTCTGTTAATATAATCGCGCAGATCAAATGTGCCCAATGGACAACCCAAATGGCTTCTCTCATTTATCCCGGATTATCCTATGCTTAATTTTATGCTAACGACTGCTGTTTACGTTTTGGTGAGCTGAGTAATTCTTTGTTTTTAAGTTTGAATTTCTCTGTTTTTAACCGGTAAACTAATCTTTTATTTTCGAGCTGCAGATATCATATCGGCTCTTTGAACTCACCAACACGCTCAAGACATGTTTTATTCCCACAAGGGATAATCGAAGGCTATTTTATAATTTTGTCGCTGGAGCTGTCATTTCAGTGTGTTTATATTGCATTGCATTCATCCTTGTTCAGATCTCCCGTTAACGTGTAAGCTCTTTATCTGATTTAGAACACAATGAATTTCATTATCCCCTCTGCCTTGATAATTTGAAGATTTACAGGTGTGCGCTGACCTCTGCATCGCTCGTTCAAGCTGCGAAGGCAAAGCCACAAGAAACTATTCGGACATAGCAAAGTGAAGCGAGACGTACAGGAAAACAACATTCGGGGACCTGGAAGTTCTTGTCCCCGATATATATATATATATATATAGTTACCGTGGCTGTTACATTCCCAGCAATTTTGTATATCTTCGTCCCGTCTCTTGTACTATGGATTTTAGGCGCGTAGCGATCTTTTTCACTTGCAAGATTCACCAGGTTAAACAGAAATGAGCAACTCTTGTAACTGTATGTTGCCACGGCTATATTTGATATTCTTCATTTTTTAGCCCCTTGTCGTGAAGATGTGTTTCTTGTGTGGTGTGAACATTCTTTTTAGATCAAAACTGGTAAAAATATGTACGTTATTTTCTTTACAGTTTATTTGATACTCTTCATTTTTAGCCCCTTGGCGGATTATCAGGCAATGTACTTTAAATGTCCACTTGATTTCCTTCGGCTCGGCTTGGCTCACACAAAGATGATGAAATTGCACTGCACTTCACTTATATAACACTGCACTCAAATTCCTTATGCTTCTTTAATCTCTACACACACTGAACAGACAGACTTACTACATGGGAGAAATCGAAGAACCAGAATTGGGATGGATAGGTAAAAAAAATACATGATCCATTATCCATTCTAACCTCGTACCCGACAAATCTAACACGTTTTTTTTGTTCATTTCATGTTGTTTATCGAACAGCTGAGGAATCCCAAGCTGAAACACCTACCGCAGCTGCCTACATTCCCGACCGGGACCGATCAAAACCGAAGACGTCGTGGGCTCTGATGCTCGTCTATGCGTCGCTCATCCTTGCCGGGCAGTCCTCCGCTACACTTCTGGGAAGACTTTATTACAACGACGGTGGAAACACCGCCCTGCTGCAGGCGCTGCTCGAGAATGTTGGATCACCGATGCTTATCCCGTTCGCGTTGATTCTGTTGTTGAAGAACCCGTCTGGAGACGACGGGGCGAGGTTGTCGAGCGATAATTTGATGGTGAGAGGTGGTGTTTATGTTTTTCTCGGCGTTTCTCAAGCTGGAAGTAGCGTGCTGTATTCGATTGGCCTCAAGAATCTCCCGGTTTCAACGTTCGCATTGATCAACACGTCGCAGTTGGGATTCAACGCGTTCTTCGCGGTGCTCCTCAACGCGCAAAAGGTCACCCCTCCGATACTCAACTCGTTGTTCCTCGTGACGATCTCGTCGATCCTCCTCGTGTTCCATAACAGCTCGAGAAGCAACGCGGACGGCGACGTGAAAAGAAAGCATTTCGCGACAGGATTTTCGTGCACGCTGATCGCATCCGCTCTGTCGTCGCTCACTATGTCGATGACGCAGCTGGCCTTCAACAGAGTGTTTAAAAGACAGAACTTTTACACTGTCTTGAATTTGATCGTATGCCAGGAGCTCGTTGCGACTAGTGTTGTCGCCATCCTGCTGTTCGTCACTGGCGAATGGCGCGACTTGAGCAACGAGACGGAGAATTTCGAGCTCGGGAAAGACGTTTACGTAACCGTGCTGGCGTCGATCGCAGTTTCTTGGCAGATGTTCTCCGTCGGAGCTGTGGGATTGATCGTCGAAGTCTCTTCGTTGTTCTCCAACGTCATTAGTACCGTTGGCTTGCCCGTCGTCCCGATTCTCGCCGCAGTCTTCTTCCACGAGAGCTTGGATGCGATCAAGGTGATTTCAATGGTGCTTGCAGTTTGGGGATTTGGTTCATACGTTTATCACCATTATCTGAATGAATGTAAGATCGAAATTGCCGGCGAAAGCCGCGTCGTTGTCGAAAAATCTTGTATGGCTAAGAGCTTCATCAGCCAAGGGTCTCAATACAATTAGCTCATGTTCATTTCCTTTACGCGAAACAGTATCTTATCTGCGTTGAACGAAAGAATCGAACACTTGGATAGCCTCAGGCCATGCGACGAATCTTCAAAAGAGCATACAACACTTGCTCCATGTCTGGTCGATTATCAGGATCGACGCTTGTGCATGACAACGCCAAGCGAAGAATTGCTTCGAAAACTTCTTCGTTCTTCGAAACGTTCAAGATTAAATAAGGGTCTAAAAGAGAGTTCACGCCGTCGATCTCGCGAATCGCTTGATCGATGAACTGAGGTAAAGTGATGGAGGCCCCGTCTTCTCCGGTGACTCCTGTCGGTCTTCTCTTCGTCGTTATCTCCATCATCATCACGCCAAAGCTGAAGACGTCTACTTTCGTCGTCGCCTTCGTCATGTACGCGAACTCTATCGAAGACGGAAGAAGTTAAAATTTGTTCATAGTCAGGAAGAATGTATAGCTAAAATGTTACCTGGAGCCATGTAACCGATGGTTCCTTCGAACATCGACAAAGATGCGACGCTGCTTCGATCATCGAGATGAACTCCGAGAATCCTCGATGTCCCGAAGTCGCTAACACGAGCCTCCATGTTCGCATCGAGAAGAACGTTCGACGGCTTCAGGTCGCAGTGCGCGATGGGGAAGTCGAAACCCGAATGCAAGTAAACCAACGCGTTAGCGATCGATACTAAAGCGTCGAGGCGTCGTGCCAATGTCCATTCGTAGCGATTCGCGCCTGCACCGTGTATCGCATCCTCTAAGTTTCCGTTCTCCATGAACTCCAAGACGAGCGCTTTCAGCTTCCGGCTCTCCCACGCGTAACCGATCACTTTAACGAGGTTCTTGTGGCGTAGCTGTCCTAACGTATTGATTTCTCGGTAGAAGATCTTGTCGATGTCGTTCGCCGCGAGCCGGTTCAGATTCAGTTTCTTCACGGCGACCTCCCGCCCGTCTCTGATTGTACCTTTGTAGACTGTGCTCAAGCTGCTGGAGCCTATGATGTTGCCATGGCTGAAGGAATTTGTAGCAGCTACAATTTCAGCTGTGTCGAATCTTTCGAGCACAGTCGCGGTGACAGGCTCGAGCTTCGAATCCCTGAGGCTGTTCTTTCGTCGATTCTTCCTCCTTTCGCGAGTAAAGAAGAATGCGGATAGCAATGTGATGAGTATCAGCACACATCCTACTGAAGAGAGGATTTGCAGTGTAAAGTTGCTCTTGCTCGAACATTTTCGCAGGTAGTTTGTTCCGCAAAGGTCTCGATTTCCCTGCAAACTGGTCGAGCTCATCGTCGCAAACACGCCGGCAGCCGGAACACGGCCGTGGAGGAGATTGAACGAAAGGTTGAGATGTTTCAGGCCTGGTATTGTAGCAAAGCTCCCCGGAATGGCGCCTGTTAGCTTGTTTTGCGACAGATCGACAATGGCGAGATGCTTCGAGCTCGATAGCGTGTCGGGGAGTTCATCGGATAACTGATTCTTCGACAGGTTGAGGCTGACGAGCTCGGTAAGCTGAGGAAAGATCTCGGCGGGGATTCGACCGGAGAGACTGTTCGCGGACAGGTCTAAAGAAATCAAATTTCTGCAGCCTTTCAGCGTCGCGGGGATGGATCCCGACAGGTTGTTGTTCGAAATGTCGATCGCCTGCGCCATTTCTAACATCCCGATTTCCTTCGGGATCGTCCCGGACAGGACATTGTTGGAAAGATTAAGGTAGATCTGCAGGTTCTTCACGGCTGCAATCATCGATCGCGGAACATGTCCGGTGAAGAGGTTGTGTGAAAGATCGAAGGTTGTGAGACGGACAAGGCGACTTAATCTTTCCGGCATCGATCCGTTGAGCCTGTTTTGACTGAGATTCAAAACAGAGAGAGATTCGAGCCTGGAAATACTCTCCGGGATCGTCCCTGTCAGCTTGTTGTTCTGCATCAAAAGCTCTGTTAGTTGTTTAAGCTGAGAAAGCTCTCCAGGGATCACACCTTCGAGCTCGTTGTCGCCGAGGGACAGGCCCTGGAGAGACGAAAGCTTCGACAACTCCCATGGAATCTGACCTGAAAATCGATTCATATTAATCTCCAAATACACAAGCTCAGTCAGATTACCAATCTCCTTAGGAACAGATCCTGAGATCGAATTATTCGTCGCCCTCAAAGTTCTAAGCTTTCGGAGATTGCCGATGTACGGCTTAAGGGAGCCGGTCAAGTTGTTGTGACTAATGTCGAGCACTCGAAGCTCGGCGCAGTCGTAAAGATCGTCGGGAATGTCACCGGAGATTCGGTTCCTCCCTAATGACATGAACGTCAGGTTGGACAGCCGGCCGAGTCCCCGGGGGATTCGACCGGTGATTCGATTATACGTCAAGACTATGTCAAGAAGTCCTGTGCAGTTTACGATGCTCGCCGGAATGGATCCTTCGAGGAGATTGTTGTTCGCCGTCAGGTTCTTGAGATTGGAGAGGAAACCGATGTCTGTTGGAAGAGAACCTGTGAAGGAATTGAAGCCTAAGGAAAGGTAGGTTAAATTTCTCAGTTTGGTTATGGCGGAAGGAAGGTTTCCGCTGAAATTGTTGCTGTGGAGAGTTAGAACTTGAAGAGATTTCAGAAGGGAGATCTTGGAGGAAATCGGACCGTCCAAATTGTTCTCGGAAAGCCCCAAATGTGTGAGGGATTTAAGGTTGAACAGCGATTCAGGGATCGTGGAATTCAGCCTATTTTTGTACAATCTCAGGGCCTGTAAATTCACCAGGTTTCCGATCTCGAACGGAATGCTGCCGGATAGACGATTGATGAATAAATTCAGGCGGTACATCTTCTTACACCGACCGATCTCCGGCGGGATACCGCCGGAGAGAAAATTCATATGTAGCTGGAGAATTTCGACGTTCGACAGGTTTCCGATCTCCGGCGGAATCTCGCCGGAGAGCTGGTTTTCGCTGAGATCGAAGCTCTGGAGTTCTCTCAACTTTCCGACGGAGGCCGGGATGGATCCCCGTAAGGAATTCCGGTAAGCCACGAAGATTTGGAGGCTCGTCAGGTCGCCGACGTTCGCCGGAATCGGGCCTGTCAGGTTATTCTGGATCAATCCGAGCTGTAATAACGAAGTGCAGTTGCAGAGGGAGTCGGGAATAGTTCCCGACAGGAAGTTAGCCCCCAAGTCGAGTGTCTGAAGATTCCGGAGGCGGCCGAGGTCGCCGGGGATGGTGCCGGAGAGGGAATTGGAGTAAAGAATAAGATCGGTGAGGCGGGAGCAGGACGAAAGCTGGGCAGGAATGTTTCCAGAGAATGAGTTGAGGGATAAGTCGAGGAGCTGGAGGAAGGACAGGTTGCCGAGGAATGGGGAGATTTGGCCATGGAGGTTCTTGTCGGGGAGGGAAATGGCGATGACGTGGCCTGACAAGGGGTGGCATGAGATTCCAGGCCAGTTGCAGCGTTGAGAGCCGTTGGTGGTGATGTTCCAGGCGGTGAGAATGCCTGAGGGGTCGCTGGTGATGGAGGTTTTGAAGGACTCCAGGGCCTGGAGTTCGGTGTTTAAATTGGTGGAGCTGGAAAGAGCATTGGCTATGGCAACTGTAAGGAATATGGAGAAGATGAAGACTGGGAGTGCAGGTGCAGCCATTGATTTGAGGATGGTGGCGAGTGAGATTAGTAGAAGTTGGGTGTAATGTAATATAGGATTTGGGGATGTACGGACTAGGATGTGCAGGAGTTGACATTTTGGAGTCAACGTGTGAGTGAGTTGTCAACGCTGCGGGATTATGGGGATTTGGGAGCTTATGGGATGCTCGTTGGGGTCCTGGGAGCCGTTAGCCGGATCAAACAAGTCAAAGACGTCTCTTCTAGAATAGTGTGAATGTAGATTCATATATGGATATATAATTAAGATAAACAAGTACATTTTTAGTAACATTATAATATAATTTTATATAATATTTAATTATACGATTTGAAGAAAATTGGTTTTAAAATTGTTGATTCGAACATTGCCCTATTTAAATATTGGCCGATTTGACCACCTGCGCAATCCGAAAGAAAAAAAATTTACTCGTATCTTATTGTTAAAATGTGGTAGGTGAAACATAAATTTGAAATATTAATTAATTAGTTTTTATTATTTGTTAAAGCATAAGTGTAAATAGAAATTTTTTTTATTACAAATAAGTTATATATAAATTTACAATAATAATAATAATATAGTGAATAATTTTGGCTTATTTAATTATTTTTTCTTATCACAAAGGAATCTATATATAAACGTGGGGACGGGACTCACGGGAGAGTAGGAAACAAGATACACATGCACAAGTTGGAAGAAACTGCTTTGCAATAACACAGTGATGACGTGGACTGGCGTGTTTGGATTTCGTCCGTACTAAAAAAAATAAAAAAAAAAAATTAATTAATGTAATATTTAATTCAATAGTATAAAGAAATATTTTAAATAAAAATAGTTTTTTTTATATAGTTTTATTTTTTATTTTTCATTTTTAAAAAGTGTACTTCAATTATTTCTACAAAAAATTGTTTGAGTGATATTGTTTCACTAGTTCGGTTACTTTCAACAATTGTTGCGGTTGACTGCTGACTTGCATGCTTTCATTTTTTATTTACAAGTGGATGTTAGTGCATTTTCATTCTTATTTATTCATTCATTTATTTTAAGAAAATAGTTTAATTGAGTGTGAATGTTGAGTGTGTTCATAAAAAAGAAATATATATATATATATATATATACGAATTTGTTTCAATTAGTATTACAACAAATATAATATATATTATCTATTATTGATATAGTTTTTTTTATTAAAATGTATAAAAAAAAATACAAAAGATGCTTGTTTGCATATTTGAGTTTTTTATTAAAATTTTGAATAATAAAAAATTTAAATTTAAATAGTTATTTAATATGGTATAAATAAATATTGATATAATATTTTTAGTGTAAAATTAATTTGTATATAATATAAAAATAAAAATTGAATTTGATATTTTTTTAAAAAAATATGAATAATAAAAATTCTTTTAAATTAAACTGTATAAAAATTTATATAAATAATATAAAAATAATAAATATATATAATATTTATTTATGTTTCTATTTTATTTTTTTAAAATTTTTTTTTCAAGAATATCCTATTAAATTATTATCTAAACTATTAGTATTTGCAATAAGAATCCCACCAGCCATTTGCCGACATAGTAAACATTTCATGAATACAACCCAAAAAGATAAATATAAAATAAATAACATTTTGACGAGAATCATCGTTACATGTTCGCAGGAATCATAAAATATATTTTGGTCATTTATATTTCTTCCGTTCAAAAAGAAGTATTTATTTGCTTTTTGTACGTAATTTTAAAAATATTAAAATTATATTAGAATATAAGTAGAAATAAAATAAAAATGATTAAAATAACTTTATTAATATGTGTGATATAAAGGTAATGATATTTGTGTAATATATAGAAAAAATAAATACTTTGTTATGGGACGGAGAGAGTATCAAATATTGACTCCATATATACAAATTGTTGAGTTTAAAATAAAGCACCATAGCATATATTAGATATATATATATAATATATATGAGTATATACAAAGTCCAAATAATATGTATATAATGTTGAACAATTTAGTCAAAATTCTTATATATATATATATATACTAGGCCTTGGCCCAAACAGGCCCAGAACAGCTTCATTTTATTTAGATCCAAAGTTGAAGTGGGCTTTGGTCAAATAAATTCTGTATGATTTATTTCCAATTACGAATTGCGATTATCATTTTTATTTTATTTGAATATTATTGCTAATGATTCAGATTATTTAATTTGACTCGGTTTGTTGACCAGTAGCAAGTAGGTAAGCATTTTTTTAATTATATATATATTAAATCATCAATTAAATATTGATAATAGACTTGCTTGCTATCTCTGTGGTATCTCTATTGTACAAGTTGGTAAAGAGTGGTGGACCAGTGATTAACACCCGGAGTAAATATTAGTACTTCCTCCGCCATATAACGTGTATACCCTGAGTAAATATTAGTACTTCCTCCGCTAGATAATGTGTATCCGATTGCTTTTTTTTTTTTTTTCCAAAATTGTTTTAAAAATATTAATATTATATTATAATATAAATAGAAATAAAATAAAATGACTGAAATAATCTTAGTATTGTATGATATAAAAGTAATGATATTTGTGTAATATATTGTAAGTTATAAGGATATTTGTAATGTTAAATAAATAATACAATTACTAAAAAAAAAAAATATTTTAATATGAGACCGACTAAAATGAAAAAATTGATAATTTGTTATGAGACAGAGGAAATATTATTTTCATCCGGTTCTAATGATAAATATTAGTATTTGATCCTTATCTTCTTCCGGTTCTGACGTCTTATATATTTTTAATATTAATTATTATATAAAATCGTAGTATAAATTAAAAGAGAATAACAAAAATATTCCACTAGTATCTTATAATACTATTATAATGATATTTGTAAAAAAAAATAATACAAATATAATAGTAATATTTTTACTATTGGTATAATAATGCAAAAGATAAATGAGATCTTTAGACCCGATAAAAAGTATAATTTTTGTAATATATATATATATACACTCATTTTGTCATTTGTTCATTCTTAAACACATGTTTTCAATTGATATGAACTTTTTAAGAAAAATATAAAACTTATATAATTTGTTATTGTTACAGAAATTTTCAGAAAATCAAGATGAGATAACAAAGACAAAAGAATATGAGAATTTGTAACCCAGTTCAATCATAATGATCTACAACTGGGGGCGCTGCCAAGCCAGACATTCTACTATAAAATATGCAGGCACATGTTAAAGTGAGAATATATGGATATTTATAGTTTAAGCCTATGCCAATAATATCCAAATCATATATCTAAATATATGATGTAAAATCTAAATCATATCACTAGATTTTAGGATATAATCAGACTTCATATCCCAACAATCTCCCACTTGAAGACTGATTGCATCTTCCACTTCCACATTTTACTTCATCGGCAACAACGGCGCCAAGCCTCTTTCACTCATCGAGGCCACTTGAGGTTGAACACAACCTCAATTCATGTAAGGTCACCACCTTAGACCGTCTTTTAGGATTGCTCATAAATCGACTTACTACTCTCACTGCACGTGCTTTCTACCTCCTAAAGGTATCAAAAGCATCATAATTACACTTAAGGAAATATACACATACCTCCCTTTTAACGTCATCAATTACCACAGGATAGTACTGTAAGCCTCCAAGGGTCGATACAAAAGTTGGTTCTCGCAGATACGTATGAACCAACTCCAACTTTTCCTTTTCCAAGTTTCTCCTACCCTTTGAGAACGTCACATGTCGTTGCTTCCCAAAGATACAGTCATTGCATACTCCAATATCGACAGACTTGAGACCTGACAATCTTCCATTTGACATGAGCTTCCCTATCCCCTTCTCGCTCATGTGTCCGAGACGAGAATGCCATAAATTTGTGTCATTATTTATGGCCACGGAACTGATTCCGTCTTGCATGATTTTCGTCATGTAGAGAGTTCTATTTCTTCTCCTTTGGGCCACCACAATGGATCTTTAGGTTACCTTCCACGACTTAGGTTCAAAAAACTGTCAAGTAACTTGCCTCATCCAATTGTTCAACAGAAACCTGATTTCGTTTCAGACCGAAAACATGGCTCACGTCATTCAATCTCCACTCCCCACCATTCGGTATTCTGATTCAAATCATTCATTTACCTATTATTTTCAATGTCTCATCATATGCAAGATAGACAACACCAAAATTACCTATGGTATAGAATTCCATGTTCTGCATGAGTGGAATGACGTTCCTGAGACCAAGATCCATGACTCCATTGGACTGCTGATGCTCAGAATCAGCACATCGGATATCTTCTCCGCTGTGTTTGCCGAACCTTGATCCTTCTCCGGTGCCCCGCACTCTCGTTTCAAGTGCCTCTTGCAGTTTCAACATATCACCTGACTTGCATCTTTCTTGTCCGTTTTCTCCGACTTCAACTTTGATCATTCTTGATCTTCACTCTTTCCTTTTGCCTCAAATCTAAATTAAGTCGAGACATTCTCCCAAATGGTTAGTCGAACCGCACTCATCGTTTTCCTGTCGATCTTCTTTTACTCGACTTCATCCATCTTGACTCCTACAAACAAACGTAAGGTTCACTTGATATGAGAGCACATAGGATATCTCCTCCGCTGCGTTTTCCAAAACCCTTATCCTTCCCTGCCAACCTTGCACTGCCTATCATAAAGGACCCGCTGCCTGACCTACCAGACCGTAGGAGACTTTCGATACAAGGCACCTCCGCAGGTCACAAGGGATTCCCACAACGACCCAATGTCCGATTCCTCTCAATCCACCCTCTCAACAAACCAGGCTCTGATACCACTTGTTACAGAAATTTTCAGGAAATCAAGATGAGATAACAAAGACAAATGAACACAAGAATTTGGTAACCCAGTTAAATCATAATGATCTACATTTGGGGCGCTGCCAAGCCAGAAATTCTACTATAAAGTACGCAAATACATGTTAAAGTAAGAATACACGAATATTTATAGTATAAGCCTATGCCAATAATATCCAAATTATATATCTAAATATATGATGTAATATCTAAATCATATCTAAATCATATTACTAGTAGGATATAATCAGACTTCATATCTCAACAGTTATTAAATAAATTAAAAAAAGTTAATATTTTTTATGATAATTTCAAAAAAATTGATTTTTTTTTTTTTAAGGGAGTAACTAGTTTAATGTTTTATCTTAAAATAAATATATATATATTTACTCCTTATTAATACGGAGAATTATTCAAAGATCAGCCAAACACACCTTCAGTTACTTGATGTGGTGTGTAGTCAGCAAAATCGTAGTGGACATAGTACTTTTTCAATGTCCGAACGCGGTGTCGTTGAAGGTTGGAAAAACGAGAAAGAAAAAGGTAATTACCCCACACCTTCCAGAACAACCCAAGAACAAATCATTCCAAGCTCCCTGGACTTCCAACACCCAAGCAATCCACACCATCCATTTCACACGTCAACGGCGTAGATTCATCCGCACAAGAGGACCCCCAGTCAAAGTTGTACACCAAGAAATATTCAAACCCGCCATTAATACAAAGACCCAAACCCGCTTTATAACTCCCGCTGCAATCCACAATCTACAGAAGAGAAATAATACATACAAAATACATATATATATATACTTTTTAGAGAGAGAGAGAGAGAAAGAATGGGGAAGAAGCCATCATCAAGTTTTGCGTTCCTATTCAGAAGGCTAAACGGGAAAAGTAGTATCAGTAATCCCGACGGCGAGCGGCGGCGGCGGCGGAAATCGGCGACCTCCGCCGGATTCCGGTGGAAGCGGCGGTTCAGTTTGCGCCATTGGTTGATCGACACGTGTCTCTTCAAGATTGTGTCGATTTTGGAGGCGGTAGTGCTGGTCTCCAGGCTCTGTTTCTTCTTCCTCTGCTGTGGCTGTAAATTCTGAGGAATGATCCATTAATATTGTTAAAGTATTCTTCAGTCCACATTAATTAATATCATATGGATTGGAGATTAAGGAATTTTTTCATTTCTTACTGATTAAGCCTTGTGATGATGTTTATGTATACATTGTTGTTGTTCATTTTTAATTTTTGATTTAATTTGTTTGATCCTTGGGGAAGATTAGAGTCCCTTCGGCATGAATTCATGTCGGAAGAACGCGAAAAACTTTAATTAGAATTGACTACAGATTCGATTTTTATGATTGTGGGTCTCCTAACTTGAACAAATATTCTGATGCTAACATAAGGGTTTTTTTTTTTTTTTCAAATTAAAGTCAATAATGTTCTATTATTTTTAATAAAAAAAATTTAAAATATTATATCAAAATACTATTTTTTAAAAAAAAAATTAAATCAACTCTTGATTTCAAATTAATTTTAAACTATAATTAAACACACGCTAAAGATGTAACAAATTTTACCATTTATCAAATATTTTTTTTTAAAAGTAATTAAATCAAATCAAATATTTATTTTTTTATTTTTTATACTATAGTAAATAAATAATTTTACATTTCATTTATTTATATCACATTATATAACTAAATTAATTTAAAATTTTTATTGTAATTTTTTTTTTAAAAAAATCAAATAGTATTATTTTATTCGATATTTTAAAATAAAAACTAAGGATATTTTTTTACAAAAATTATGAGTAAAAAATTTTTTATTAGAAAAAAAAAAGTAATTGGTAGTTTTTTAATTTATTAATTGTACTAGCTATTTAACATAATAAATACTCTTTCAATTTACAATATATTACATAAATATCATTATTTTTATATTACACCGGTATTTTCTTTTTTTACTACAATCTAATATAATATTAATATTCAAAAGTAAAAAACAAACGCTACCCTTTCCTACGCGACGAAAGGAGTACTACTTTTAAAGTAAACATAACCAATAATTGTTTGCTGCAGGTTGCAGCTCTACTCTAATGATTTATTTTGTTTTTATTTGTTTGTTTATCTATTTATCTTTTTCCTGAAATTTGTAAGTTTAAAACATAAAATATTCAAAATATAATTTAAAATAATTAATTAAAATCATGTATAAAATGTAAAATTATTTTAATTATTTATGTATTTGCTAAATTAGAAAATAGACTAAACGTATAAAATAATCATTATGTTCAAAATAGAAAGAAACAAACACTACCTTGATGAAATGACGTTACACAATCAACATTACATGATGGAACCTACGGAGTAAACTCCTTACGTCATCAATTCAGATACACATCTATCATGATCAGACGCTTGGAGGCCAGCTAGTTAGCTCCAGCGAGCCGAGCCGAGCCGGCGCTGCTTCGGCTCACTACAGCCGAAGTCCTCCAAACCCTAATTCCCAAATTATATTCTTCAGTAAATTTCAATTTGTAATTCGTTTTGATTTCCCACTCTTCAGTTCAGTAGGTTATCCTTATCTCTTTCATCTGCCATTTCTGCACTCGAAGAAGGAATACCAAGGAAGATGATGACGATGACTTCCTTGAATTTCGCAGCGGCTTGCTCCATTTTGAAACCGAATCAAAATCTGCTTCTGCAATTCGACTCCCGCCTTCCGAGACGAGCATGTTCCAGAAGAACGAATTCTTCGTCTGCAACAATGGCTCTGCTCTCAACCTCCAAAGATCAAGTACTAAAGGAGTTCCATGAAAGAAGAGCTCTCAAAGTTAACACCATTACATTCTGGAATTGCGTATTGAATTCCCCGCCATTTTATAGGATTTTGAACCAAATCTCTGTTGTGTGATTGATTTTGGTTGTGTAACTTCTTCCATTGCAGATCATCTCCAGATTGCATAATTTCGACAGCAACAATGTAGCTGCTGTTGTAACTGCTGCAGAAAAGGTTCTCTTCTCCTTGCTTGCAGAAATTCAGTGTCTATTTCATCGATTATTGTTAATGTAGAGATGAAAAAATGTGTAGTGGATATTCCGTTGTTTACCTGATTAAGATTTGTCTTTCCTGTTTGTTCTTGTTCCGAAAGGGAGGGGCAACACATGTGGATATTGCTTGCCAACCAGATTTGGTGAAACTAGCAATAGATTTGACTGTTCTTCCTGTAAGAAAGCCTGATTGATTATTCACCAAATTCAAATGCTCAATTCTCACTTTCTGCAAGTGTTCCTGACTTTCTGGTATATTTGCAACATCTCTGTGTTGATCCATGTTCTAGATTTGTGTCTCTTCTGCCGATCCATCGGAATTTCTTGCTGCAGTGGAAGCAGGAGCCGCCATGGTTGGACTCCAAACTCTGTTTTAAACTTTTCTCCTTGTATACAAAATCATATCAAGAAGATAATCAAATATCTTACACCATATCCACAATTCCATTTCAGGTAGAAATCGGAAACTATGACTCGTTCTATGAATCCGGAATCACTTTCTCATCCGACCAGGTAGGGCACCTCTACATTCATTTGCAGGACTAATTCCAACTCTGTAACTTCACACTTCGGATTGTATTGTACAGATTCTTCGTTAAACGAAGGAGACTAAAGAGATTCTTCCATCTACACCACTATCAGTCACAGTGCCTCATACACTCACCCTTCCCGACCAGGCATTAGATCTTTACCTTCAGTCGAATACGAATACGAATCCTAATCTCATTTTCTTACATCTCCATTACCATGTGACAAATCCATCCTTTTATGCAGATAAAGCTGGCTGAACAGCTCGAACAAGAAGGCGCCGATGTCATCCAAACTGAGGGAGGAAAAGGGTCGAATCCTTCCAATCCCGGCGTGCTCGGTCTGATTGAAAAGGTAGTTTCTGCCGTATGTTTCCGTAGAAATTAATGCTTTGAGTCTAACCAAGTTAAAAATTCAGGCAACCCCAACACTTGCGGCTGCGTATTCGATCTCGCGTGCTGTAAGAATACTGGTCATGTTTTCGTCTGGCCTAGCTCTGTCACTGCTCCGATGGCCATATCGGCCAGCGCTGCGGTGAACAAGCTCAACGATGTTGTGGCAATGATTGCAGAGGTGAAGAGTATAGCACAATCACTCGGATTATTATCCTCGGGGAGACGTCTTGTGTTGCAAGAGAAAAATGATCTGACAGTGATGTAGATCACACATTACAGCAGCTATTGATGAAACGGTTAGCGTTTTCATTCACCTAATAGATAATTAGGTATATGAATAGCAAAATCACTTATTTATATATATATATATATATATATTATGTCGTGGGAATTCACGGTTGTCACAAATCTAACCCCTATACCACCATGCGATTCTTTACGGACAACTTTGGATATATATTTGTAAAATAAAAATAAAAAATAGAGAGATTCGGTGGATGGAAAGTGTAAGAAAATTTTAATATATTTAACCTATGTATTTTATATATAAAATGATATATATAATAATATATTTTTTGTAATTTATTATGATATTTTGATATTAGTAGATGATTATTTTTTACTAAAAATATGTATATTTAGATGGATAAACGAAAATAATAAGTAAATGTACATTTTGACGTCATAGATGAAGTATTATGATAGAATCTATTTGTCATATATTCTATATTTTTATTAATAGCATATTACATATTTATTTTAATTTAAAATGTTATTTCTTTCGCATTACAAACCTAAATATATATAGCTATATTATTTTAGAGATTTATTCTTACCATGCATTTTGTTCAGTATTTCTTGGAACGATGTCCTTCACTTTTCATTACGGCTGTGTTTGTTTGAGGAATTTTGTGGAATTTCTACTATTCCCACAAATTTTTCTCTCCAAAAACATCAAATCAAATTTTTATTTATTTTTTTTATATTATATTAAAAATCAATTTTACATTCAAAACATCAAATCAATTCTTATTTATATCACATCATACAACTATTCAAATTTAATTTTTTTACTGTTCAAATCCCAACCAAAAATCCAAACTCTCAAACAAACACACCCCACATAGATCTATGTGATTTGATATAGAAACTTTTCTTATTCCAATTGAAATATGTTTTATTAGCTAGTAAAAGTATTTAAATAATTTGGACATTTTGATCTTTGCAAATATAAAGAAAAAATGATCTTTTTGTAAAAGATATAGAAATTGATGGAGTATGTTCTTTGGTTAAAAAGTATTTGTAAATTAAATATCAATGTTTATAAATTATTTTGATATTATTTTTAATTTAGAATATTTCAATACTTGTGATTTTTTAAAATTATTTATACATATTTTTTTTTTCTTTTTTACTATCCCAATTAAAATTTATAAAATTATTTCAAATAATAACTAAAGACATAATCATAATAATATGCAAAATCAAAACTAGTTTATTTTGAAGTCTATCAATCAAATATTGAATGATGAATCCAAATATGCTTATATTACAATGGTAAGTTAATATTTTATGTACTTAAAATATTATCTGTAGCTAGTAGCATGATGATTTTACAACAATTAATGTTTAGCATTACATGTATTAATATTTAGAAATCTAAATCAGAATCATGAATTTATTTATTTTTTTCGATGCTGCAATACATACCATATATATAATGACAACCGTAATACTCTAATTAATAAAGATTAGGATTATTTAAATTATTTAAAATAGTCTTAAATTATAAGAATGTGCGAACATATTAGAATCGGAAGTTCCGAAATTAATTCTTACATAGTAGCTGAATTTTCGAAATCATACAACATTTGCCTATTTTAAAATATTTTGTAATTCTATTAAATAAAATATTATAATATATTATATTTATTTCTATTGCCAATTTTTATATTTGATGTTTTTCAATATTCATATATAAATTTTGAAAAAGAATATAAAAATTAAAATATGATAATACACAAAAATTAAACCATCCTGTCGTGATGTGAACTTCTCCCAAACAAAACCTAAATTCATAACATAATTCCAAAGTGAAATTTGGCACACCTTTTAATTTAAAATTTTATAAAGAAGCAATTTCATGTGTAAGAATCATGGTTATATACCTACACCTATACCTATATATAATATATATCACTCCAAAATTTTATTGAATTGTAACATGAACATATGGAATTGGACAAAAAAATAATAATAATAAAAAATGCATTAAAATAATAAATCATAAGACAAACATACAATTATATATATATATATATATATTATTAGTTTATCTCAAACTTGTGCATCAAGAAATAAAAAAAACACATAAATTTCAACGCGTTACTTCAATTTATGCATTTGTTTACTCTAATAAACACAAAATATTTAAATTGTATTTATTTATAATAACAAAATCACCTGAAGAACAGACGCATTTCTTTCCAGCAGTAAACCCCAAACAGCTGCAAAATTAGGGTTTCAGAATTGCCCCAAATCAATTAGTCGAATTGAACTCCAAGCGTAAATCCGATCACCAGAACGAAGCAAAATCTCCAAAATCATAATCAAAATTTGCATCCGAAGAAGGAGCCATAGTTGAATTCTGCAACAGAACATCAGCTTCAGCCTCGGCCGTGGCACTCAGCAATTCTCCCTACAAAATTGCAGTTCTTGTAAGAAATTTAACAAAAATTGTATTGATTGAATCAGGAATTAAGTCGATCTCACCTCCAAACCAAGATCATAAAATTCAGAACCATTGAATTCAACATTTGGCAGCTTTAATGGAGATTGATAATTATCCGCCGCAGGAAGATGAAGATCAGATAAACAATACAACGTCGTCGGAACAACCGAATTGAATCCAAGATTTGGCAGATATGGAGGTCGATGATTATCAAGAAGATAAGATCCACAAAACGACGTCGTAGGAACAACTGAACTGGATTCCGGATTTGGTAGAAATGCAGCAGGTTCATGATGATCATCAAATAGATCAGATACACAAAACGACGTCGTCGAAGGAACAACCGCCTGTGAATTCACCGATTCGAAGAAATCAACATTCCACAAATTCTCCGTCGTCTTCAACTCTTCAAGGCGTCGGTTAATTCTTGCTTGCAGGTCTCCCATGGCGGCGAGGAATTCATCCAATTCGTACAATTCCATATCTTCAATCGATTTTTCCCACCAGCACTGTCCGTTCGCCTCCACCTCCATTTCCAGCCTCCTCGCCACTTCTACCTGCATCATCTCCGGCGACGTTTCTCCCATCTGATACTTGTTGAGCACCCAGTCGACCGACGGACTCCCGAAGGCGAAAACCTTGTCCGCCGGCGAAGTAACGACAATGGCGACCTCCGCACCGGTGAGAATGGCTAGTTCGCTCGCCTTCTTGAATATCCCCTTTCTCCGCTTGCTGAAAGTCACCTGCAAACTCGACTTCTTCGCGATTTTTTCCATGGCGATTTTGCGCCTGCCCGTGCCCATATTTCTTGATTGTTAATTCTTGATCGATAATGGATGGAAGGGGCTGATTATATATAATAATGAAGGTTAAAATTGTAATTTCAATTTTTTTCTTCTCGCCCTGGAACTTTTTTTTTTTTTTTTTCACTTTTTTCTTATTTGTTTTTCTTAGTTACAAAATAATATTTATTTCTTTTACCAGCCGAATTTATTTTTATTTTATTTTTTAGTTTGTCATAAATTTATCATGTTACTAATTTTGACAAAATTTACTGTTTCACATTTAATTATTACTTTACATTCAATACTTATATAATTTGAATGAAATAGTATGTTTTTTGATTAATAAGTTGGTAAATATTCATGTTAATTTATAAAAAATAAAATAAAAATGATATTAATTTTAATTTCGAATATATTATTTTTTATTTTTATTTTTTTGCTATTTTTTATTTATTATTTATACATTTTTTATTATTATTATTATTATTATTTTTTCTCTTTTCCTATCCCAATTAAAAATTATAAAACCTTTTCAAATAATAACTTAAGAAATAATAATAATAATAATAATAATAATAATATACAAAATCAAAACCAGCAAATAAAAGTCTACCAATCAGATATTGAATAATGAAGTAGGATGGTGTAGGGGATGGAGGTGTACTAATAATCTATTTTATATCTATATGTAAAACTAATAACAATATATTTGTTTAGTTAATTTATAAAAAAGAATACCTAAATAAATAAAATTTGATATATGGTTTTATCACTACTAGAAATTTACCAAATTGTTTTGGAAGATTGATTCGGAATTTATTCTAATTCCAAGACCTTTTTTTTTTAATTTTTATTTTATTTTATTTTTTACTTTTTTTTGGATATTTTTTCTTATAAATTATTTTTAGAGGAGTAGAAGAAGAAAAGTTTTAAAAGAAAAAAATTATACAGTTTTGAAATTTAATAATCTGAAATTTAGAATGGGAAATATATATATATTTATTACAAATTTAATGGGCTTGTTTTGGTTTTGTTTGGATGTGTTCATTTAGTACATAGTGTGTACGTATTGTACTCATTCATTTTAAAAGTTATATTTGTTTTTGTTTTAAATATTTGAATATTAATTATTATAATATAAAATAAAAGATAAAAAAAATTATTAGACATTTGTATAATAAATTATATAAATTTAAAAAATAAAGATTTTAATGTTAGGTACAATGATACAAAAGATGAAGATAAACTTATTAAATATACAGAGAAAGTATTATTATTTTGAACATTAATTAAAAATCTAATAGAAAATTTGGTGTTGAGTGAATACACTATCTATTTGGGTTTAAATTTTTTTATTTAAATATGTTTATATATTATATTTTTATTAATAATCTAATGAACTTGTGACCGTAAGTGTTCAAACTTCCTATATTTTTAGATGTTGTTTGTCATAAATGATTCTGTTGGATATGAAGCTGATTATATTCTAAAATCTAGAGATATGATTTGAATATTATATTTTAAATTTTAGAGATATGATTTGGATATTATTATCAAAGGCTTAGCTATAAATATCCATGTATTCTCACTTTAACGTGTGTCTGCGTACTTTATAGTAAAATTTCTTGCTTAGCAGCGCCCCCAGACCCCAGACGTAGATCATCGTGATCGAACTCTTGTGTTCTTTTGTCTTTGTTATCTCATCTTAATTTCCTGGAAATTTCCATAACAAGTGGTATCAGAGCCTGGTTCGTTTGTAAGGTGGACTAGGAGGCATCGGATATTGATTGTAGCTGTGGGAATCCCTTGTAACTGTGGAAGTGCCTTGTGTTGAAAGTCTCCTGGCGGTGTTGGGTCGGTCCCGACTGGTAGGTCAGGCAGCGGGTCCCTTTGTGATAGGCGGTGCAAGATAGGCAGGGAATGATAAGGGTTTTTCGGCAAATGCAGCGGAGAAGATATCAAAGATGTGCTCTCATATCAAGTGAGTCTTAGGTTTGTTTGTGGGAGTCAAGAAGGAGTCAAGATGGGTGATTGTCATGTTGTCAAGGTATTCGATGGTATGAACTTCGGTTTCTAAAATATGCATATAGAAGATTACATGAATGGTAAAGATCTAGATGCGGTATCGAAGGAGAAATCCGAAGACATGGATAAAGCCGAATACAAGAAGATCGACAGGAAGACGATGAGTGCGGTTCGACTAACCCTTTGGACTGAATTTGGATTTGAGGCAAAAGGAAAGGGTGGAGATCAAGTCAAAGTTGAAGCCGAAGAATAACGACAAAGAAGATGCAAGTCAGGTGGTATGTTGGAACTACAAGGGGCACTTGAAACGACAGTGCAGAGCGCCGGAGAAGGATCAGGGTTCAGCAAACGCAACAGAGGAGATATCCGATGCGCTGATTCTAAGCGTCAGCAGTCCAATGAAGTCATGAATTTTGGTCTCAGGAGCGTCATTCCACTCATGCAGTGATTCGAGAATCATGGAATCCTATACCACAGGTAATTTTGGTGTTGTCTATCTTGTAGATGATAAGACACTGAAAATTGTAGGTAAATGAATGATTCGAATCAGAACACCGAATGGTGGGGAGTGGAGATTGGACGAGGTATGTTGAAGTGGAAGATGAAATCAGTCTTCAAATGGGAGATTGTTGGGATATGAAGCCTGATTATATTCTAAAATCTAGGGATATGATTTGGATATTATATTTTAGATTTTAGAGATATGATTTGGATATTATTGTCAAAGGCTTAGGCTATAAATATCCATGTATTCTCACTTTAACATGTGTATGCGTACAGTAAAATTCCTGGCTTGGCAGCGCCCTAGATCATCGTGATCAAACTGGGTCACCAAATTGTTGTGTTCTTTTGTCTTTGTTATCTCATCTTGATTTCCTGAAAATTTCCGTAACAGATTCATTTAGTAGGATTTGTTTTGTTGCTCTTGTTTGCTGCTTAGTAAGTTCGATCGGAGATTATGAAATTTACCCCAAAAATTGATAAAAAAAAAATAACTATTGCGATTTTTGACGTCATAGAAAATTTATTAATATCCTGATTAATCCTAAGTCACCATCTAAAAAATTGATTGTCAACATATTGTTTCATAAATACAATATGTAGGATGACTTTTAGTTATTGTTTTTTTATGAAATATATGTTTTTGTTAAATGTAAAATAAGAAAATTATATTAATAATATAAAATATAATATTTTAAGTTGAATATAATTTTTCTTTTAAGAAAATAAAATAGTAGTATATTATATAAATTGTTACTACAGTCATATTTTACAGGTAACCTCACAAACCAAAATCGCGTTTTATTTTAATGAATTAGTTTTATGGGCCATTGGGCCCAATACGTGAAATTAATGCGAATCAATATGTAAAATGCTCGGCCCAGCCCAACATACTTTGCCCGCCAAAATATAGTTTCTTTCCCGCCAAATCGGGATGCCCTGCAGATTGTATTCGCCAACGAATATAGGTTTTAGATTTCGCAGCGGTCTGGAAGAAACCTACGCATTTACAGGGGCACTGCAACTGAGATCAAAGTTCGAGGCTTGCGATGGATCTGAGCGAGGATGTTAGGACGGCGCACAAGCGGACTTTTCTCAAGTTTTTCGAGCAAACTGTAAGCCTCTATCTCTTTTACAGTGATTAATTTTGTTTAGGCTTCGTATGTTGCTCTGGTTGTAATCGATGTCTTTTGTGAAACGAATCAATATCAGGAGTATAACATTGATCTTAAGAAATCAATCGAATTGATGTTCACTCAAAATCGACGGCGATGTGTTGTTAATCTTTCTCATTTCTATCACCACCGGGAAGGCACCGATTTGGCTCGCAGGTGACTTGCTGTGTGTTCAATTTTTATGTTTGCTTTCTTCTTCACCCAGCATCTCTCCTTTGTGATATGCAACGAATTCGTAGTGAATTTTTTTTTTTCCATTATTATTATTACAATTGCAGGCTTTTACAAACTCCAAGCGAGTATATGCAGCCACTCTGTGACGCAGTGACTGACATGGTGCGGAGCATGAACTCTAAGTATCTGAAGGAAGGAGAGCAAGTTTTGGTTGGGCTTGAAGGTCCTTTCGTTTCTCGGAGGGTAACCCCGAGAGAGCTTTTGTCTGCGTTTATTGGTTCAATGGTCTGCGTTGAGGGCATTATCACAAAATGTAATTTCCTTATACTACTTTACCGCCACTCCTTGATTGAATGACATTTCGTTCCTAATTCTGCTTGAAGTGATTCTGGGAATAGTTTAATTTCAACATTTGCAGTTTATTAAGCAATACAGAGATTTAATGATATCACCTGGACTTGTCCGTTCCGTTTGCAGGTTCTCTTGTTCGGCCGAAGGTAGTCAAAAGTGTCCACTTCTGTCCTGTTACTGAGAAATTTACAGTGCGTGAGTACAGAGACATTACATCTAATATTGGCTTACCAACTGGTTCTGTGTATCCAACAAGAGTAAGATCAAAATCCATGACATTTCATTTTAAATGATATGATTTTGAAGGAAATCCGCTAAGAATTAGCTTGTTTCAGGATGATAGTGGCAACTTGTTGGTAACTGAATTTGGACTATGCACTTATAAGGATCACCAGACACTTTCTATGCAAGAGGTACCAGAGAATTCGGCTCCAGGTCAACTTCCGCGAACTGTAGATGTTATTTTGGAGGATGACTTGGTGGATTCGTGCAAGCCCGGAGACCGTGTGGCAATTGTTGGGATATATAAAGCCCTTCCTGGGAAAAGTAAAGGCAGTGTTAATGGAGTATTCAGGTTCTTATCTGCACATAAGAAAAATCAATAGTGATTTTTTTCAGATGAATATTTGTTGGATTTCTAAACACTACTTGCTGCTAATGTAGGACTGTTCTTATAGCCAACAATGTGTCTCTTCTCAACAAGATGGCACACAATTTACAGTATTCAACTGATGACATGAAACACATCAAACAGATATCAAAACGACATGATACATTTGATTTGCTTGCAAATTCCCTTGCACCTTCAATCTATGGACATTTGTGGATAAAGAAAGCCGTCATTTTGTTGATGCTTGGAGGGAATGAAAAGAACTTGAAAAATGGCACCCACTTGAGAGGGTTAGTATTGTCAATCTCACAGTTTTGTCTAGCCTATGCTTCTATGTTTCTTTAGAGCTTTGCTGTTTTTATCCAGTTGCCTGCTGTGTATTTGCCTTGACCTATTATTTATTTATTTATTTTTATGTTCTAATTTACAGTGACATTAACATGATGATGGTTGGCGATCCTTCGGTTGCCAAATCTCAGTTGCTGAGGGCTATCATGAATATTGCTCCTCTAGCCATATCAACCACTGGCCGAGGTTCTTCTGGTGTTGGATTGACAGCTGCAGTTACTTCTGATCAAGAAACAGGTAATGCCTGCTCATGGTAATGATATAAGCTTTGACTTTGTTATTGCTTACGAGACTAAATTCTTCATTTCAGGGGAGCGAAGACTGGAAGCTGGTGCCATGGTTCTTGCTGATAGGGGAGTTGTTTGCATCGATGAGTTCGACAAAATGAATGACCAGGATCGTGTTGCTATCCATGAAGTGATGGAGCAGCAAACTGTGACGATTGCCAAAGCTGGCATTCATGCATCACTGAACGCTAGGTGCAGTGTTGTGGCAGCTGCAAATCCTATATATGGAACTGTAAGTATCTAAAAACATTTTTAATATATAGCATATAATTGTTTGTTCTGTTTACCATAATTCCATGCATTTTCTGTGAACAGTATGACCGATCTTTAACTCCAACAAAGAATATTGGGCTTCCAGATTCTCTGCTGTCTCGTTTTGACTTGCTGTTCATTGTGTTGGATCAAATGGATCCCGGCATTGATCGCCAGATTTCAGAACATGTCCTCCGTATGCATAGATATCGCTCTGTGGTTGATGGAGGTGTGCTAAACTTCATATAAATTTTTTCGACTTGAAATGCCTAATGCTGTTTAAGTTATGCATGTCGATAAGTAGATTGATATTCTTTCCAGGCACAAGATTAGATGAAACTTCAAGACACGAAGAGGTAGAGGACTCCGATACTGGCTCTTCTCATTTTGTTAAATACAACAGAATGCTTCACGGGCGAAGATCTGACAAGCGCGTCAAACGTGACACCCTCACAATCAATTTTCTAAAGAAGTACATTCATTATGCCAAAAACAGGATTCAGCCAGAGCTCACTGATGAGGTGATGTTCTATAGCATACTGATTGAGCCTATGCATTGTTAGCTACAGCACCACTCTGCGTCATTTAAATATCAAAATTTAATTTCAATTGTTTGTTCACATCATGTTAGAAGCTGATCCTTGATTTTGAATCCTTTTCTCATTCTCATTTTCTCGGCATTGATTTCTTAAGGCATCTGAACACATAGCAACTGCATATGCGGAACTTAGAAGTGCAAGTTCAAATGTGAAGGTTTGCAATATGCTCACTCGATCTGGTTAGAACATTTAGAATTCAAGAAGCTGCAATATCTAATATATTCCAATCCAATATTTCTAGACTGGAGGGACTCTTCCAATCACTGCTCGAACTTTGGAAACAATAATTCGTCTTTCAACTGCCCATGCTAAACTGAAGTTGCAGAGAGAGGTACTCTTACTAGTTGGCTATTATTGGCATTTAGTTTATGTTACCAAAGCTGTTCCAAACTACGGACTCTTTCGTATTCTGAGGTGTTCTTGACCAAGTATTTTTATACACTTTTGAGAAGGTTTATGGGACTTGAAATGCTTTATTCTGATCAGGTGCTAAAATCTGATGCTGAAGCTGCTCTTCGAGTTTTAAACTTTGCAATATATCATCAAGAACTGAATGAAATGGAGGAGCGTGAGCAAGAGAGGATGAGGGAAATGGATACTGAAGCTGGTAATAATGATGGAGGGAACACAACAAACAACAACGATGATTCTCCTGCCACAGCAGAGTAAGTATTAAACAAGTAGTCTACTATTTACTCAATGCAGCTTGGTGTGGTTGATGTTAAAGAAGTATCAACACCATTTCCCTAATGTTTTTAATCGTGTGATTTTTGAAGTGTCGCTGAGGCGATGGACGTAGATGCCCCTCCAGCAGCTAGGGAAGGCAACAGGTATGTACTTTATAAACCAAACCACCAAAGGATGCAATTACCTATATGATTTTGTAACTCTTTTGGTTACATTTGCAGGCTGAATGCATTCAGTGCTGCTCTGGGGAAGTATAGACACGCACAACACATCGAACAAATGCCAATTGCAGATATTGCTGGAGTTGTCAACTGTGGGGGGGATGCTCCCTACTCAGAAGCCGAGATCATGTCCCTTTTGAAGGTAAGGTTTTTATATTTAGTTCAGTGATATGGCTATGATGAGAAAAATGAAATTGTGATATTGGTTCCTGAGTGTAGATTATGCATGAGAAGGGCAGCTTGATGATATCTGAGCAAACCAATGTTGTGTACTTCATGTGAGTTTGTCCGCCATAACTCAAAACTCAAACTCAAATTCGCATAGAACTGGATCTGCTGCTGCTGCTGCTGTCTCCATCATTGGATGAATGAAGTAATTTTAGTAGGACCACTGGCTATGTATCTGTATTTGGATGCTGTTAAGTGTAGGTTAAATGTTAAACAGCTTTTCAAGAATTGACTTGACTTGACTTTGTATTGTGTTTTGAGTAAGTAGGACCCACTCAAGCTGGTATATGAATATGAACTTCACATTGTTGAAGAAAATTTTTAGTCGCTACTCGAAAGTGTACGATGAGTAAACTTCCAAATTATGTGTGCTAGAGACCCGAGGCGTCGGGATTTAAACCCATGAATTTACGGTCACAAGTCCAACCCTTACACCATCACCGCGGGTCATCCTTACGGAACTACAATTTTTTTCATTCTATGAGAGAGAGCAACAGCAGGAGGCCCCAAAAGACAATTAAGTTCACTTAGGTTACTGTAATTAATTTATTCTAAATAATTTTGAATTAATTAATCCCTTCATTATATGATAACTAATATTAATAATTGTTTATAACAATTTTAAGAAGATTTACATTAACAATGACTCCGTGGCCCAATGGATAAGGCGCTGGTCTACGGAACCAGAGATTCTGGGTTCGATCCCCAGCGGAGTCGTTTTAATTTTAACTATTTTAATTTGGGAAGACTTTAAACCCTAATCAGTTTCTACTTATTATCACTCAGAACAAAATGATTCAAAACATCTCCTCAACAGCAGCACTCTATTACAAAATATGGCTTTTACCAGTCAGTCCTAACTCACTCACTGCATTAGTCATACATGCATGCATAGATAGCCATTGCCATTAATCGATGTAATTATATTTGTGGTTGAGCAGAAGAAGAATCCTTGAGATGATGAGGTGGAGCAAATGCAATGATTCCTTGTGTTTGGATGTATCCCCATTTGTCTTGAACAAGAAACACTACCATCATCACACACACTTGAGCACTGAAAGCTATTCCCAAAACCCTAGTGTTTCTTGATGTTCGTTTCTGGTAGCCATGTAATCCTGTGTAGATATTCAATATTCCCACCAACCCTGTGCTTGTCCCAACCACCCAGTGCAAGATATACCATGCTTTTCTCCCTCTACCTCCCCTAATTGATGATTAATAATATTCAGTGCAGCAGAAATTAGTTCCATCACAAAACCCTAATAATGGAAGAAAAAGATCAAGTACAACAGATTGATGATGATACTTACTTTTTGGGCCTTATGAATCCAATGAGGAGTTGCAGATAAATGGCAGCATAAAGCCCCAGACCTGTTCTTTGATGGATGTTTCTGAATTCATTCTCAAATTGTCTCATTGATAGAATTGCTCCAACAGTCACGACAACCACTGACACCACCTTTCAATCATCATGCATATGAAAATGAAACACAATTGTTTAATTAGTAGCAATTTAATAATATATTATATATTTTTAAGTTTGTTTTTTGTGGACTGTTTAATTCATTATGGCTAATTACTCATACCTGCAAAGCCACATGAACATAGAACAAGATTTTGTGCCTCGGATGGCCGCGATCGGTTAAGCTTAAAACTCGAGCTGTTAGTATTCCCACAGGCATCAAGAATCCCATGGAAGCCCAGAAAAGGATTCCATGAACCTCAATCTCCACTTCCTTTTTATAACTTCCCTGCAAAATATTAAGCCAAATCATATCTATCTATCTATCTAATGACAAATCAAATCCAGTGTCTTAAACTTTCACGAAAAAAGACTAAAATAATGAGTGCATCATGTTACATGGTGGACATTGATGCTGCTGTTGGGATATCTCTTATTCATTTCATAATTGTGTTGATGTGATGAGCACAATTCTGGAAAGTTTATTACAAGAAACAGAAGAGCCATCAAGTAGAAATGACTGCAGATTGCAGAGGACATCTTCATGAGCTGTCTGAGTGAATTGAAGAAGATGAAGGGTAAATGCAGAGGGAATGAAGAAACATCAAAAGGGTTTTTGAGTTTTGGTGATTCAAAAGTGGCAAATTTTTCATTCTGGTTAATGGCATTTAGTGACAATGCTGAGGCTGGATCCCTTCAACTTTTGCTTTATGGCCTTGTGTCAGTTCTTGGCCGATTCTAAATTTGTCTTCATGTTTAATTGTGTAACAACTTTCATTGAAAGAAACAAAATTAAATATAACAGATTAGAAACAAACAACAGAGCCAATTAAATGACATAAACTGTAGTCAAGCAATACTGTGTCATGAGTTGAATAGTATTTATGTGGCCTCAAAGCTCAGCTAAAAATTTACCCGATTCGAGGTCGAATATGGATTGAGTATCTGTATTCAATTTAAAATATTACTCCCTTCATCGTTCAAATTTATGCTCACTTTTCTTTTTGAATTGTCTTAAAAAAATATTTTCGTTTCTTTTTTTAAGTAAAAAATTATTATATTTTTATAATTTTTTTACTATAAAAGAAATAAGTAACCATTATTATATTTTTATAATTTTTTTACTATAAAAGAAATAAGTAACCATTATTATTTATTTTTTTTAAAACCCGTGCCCGATCAAATGACCACACATTGCATGACGGATGAAGTATATGACATATAAACATCAACAAAACTGTAAGAAAAGGCAATTAGATAAGGCCACATTCTTCAATTGTAGAATCTTTTTTGAAATTATTGTATTGTATACCTAAAAGTTCCTCAATAATTCCAACAACACTGATAATGAAGTAGCAAATATAGTTGAAGTAGCAAATTGATTATAACCACCAAAAAAAATTAAGAAAAATGTTCTACATAAACAGGTTTGGCCTGGATGCCTTGTATGTGGTCTTGAGCTTCCTGGTCGGGGGCCTCACTTTTCGGAAAACCAACGGGAACTTGATTTTGGAGTCGTGGAACTGCTTGGTGCTCTCCCGTTTGCAGAGTTTCGCCGGAACAGTGGCTGTCTTGATGATCTGGATGCAATGATGGCGGACCCTGTGGCGAGAAGCCATCTCTGTGTACATTTGCTCGACTGCTCCATTTAATGTGATGTCACGATATTCCTTGTACATGTTGTGATAGCCAGTTCTGCTTTGGTATCTCAACCAGATTCCATAGTTCTTGATCGTGGTCGGGTTCTTTTCAAAAATCTGTAGAAGTGAGACAACAATCTTGAAAAATCAGAAATGGGACATCAAATAATGTTAATATTTGCTTCTTGATAAAGTTAAAAGTGTAGCTTAATACATCACAAGATGTTTTACGTTGTTAATTTGAAAAGGGTAAATGATAAAAAGAACATGCTAATGCATCGACGAAGGGAGCAGAAAATGCCCGTAGAAGTGTAATAAAGTGATTAATGAACTCAACACAGTTCGATTCATAATCGCACATAGCAAATTATAAGAGAGTTGAAAAGGCTAACATAAAAATCTGTCACATGGAAAACTAAAACCTAATCGCATTTTAGAGTATCTCAATTCCTGCAATCTTTGGTTCGATTCATAATAGAACACTGCAAATTATAAGAGTTCAAACGGCTAACATCAATATCCGTCACATGATAAACTAATCACATTTTAGAGTATCTCAATTGCTGCAATGCACGACACCAAATCCTATGGTAAACACAAACAAGGGGCATGCCTTCTTTTAAGCAAACAAAAATCGGCATATTCTAAGTTGTGAACTCATGGTGGTGCTGATTCGGAATACATTCCAATCCAGGAAAACAACACTTCAATGCAACATGGCAAGATATTAGCCAATTCTAAACTCTTGCCTGTAAATGGATAGCATCTAAACTAATATGGTTCAAATTGAAGGCACTGAACGCATACCTCATTGATAGCAAGCACCTGACCATTGCTCTTTTTTACTTTCTTAAGCTTCCGTAGAAAGTACCTTCACAAAGAAACAGCACAGTAAACAATTATATACCAATTTCTAATCTGACTGCTATAACATCGTTCTTAGTCTAGCAAAATCAATGATCTGTGTTTCAACCTCTTGAACCATCTCAAATTCTCAATTCGTTTTCCAGTCTGGCTATCATGTAATCAATGTATGCATCCATTTGATATTTCTATAGTATAGCATAAAAATATTTCACCAACCACTAAAATATTGCACAGAAAAATCAAAATCTGGACTACCAATTACCGAATCGCTTATAATTCAACTTCCCAATAGCTTCGCCCAATCAATACAGTAAATGAAGAAGACTACCCAAAATAACTCATAGTTATGCATTAACAAGCTAACGCCGAAGGAATTCATTCAGTACCAGAACTTAGACTTGGCGCGGGCGCGGACCTCGTTGGTTGCCCAAAGCTTCATGCGATAGATCTTCGGGTGCTCATCCGTCTCCGTCGGCAAACCCCTCCCAACCACCTGGTACTGATGGAACTGCAAAGAAATCCATATACAAAATCAATCAACCATCCAATTCCAAATCTAATTCCATCAAACAAAACCAAAACAGTAATAGAAATCAAAACCCACCTTGTAGGTCACCATTTTCCGAGTCTGTTGTTGGGAAGACTTGAGACGGCACCCTTCCTCGCTCGATAGAACAACAAAACCCTAGATTATAATGGGCTATACTGTATGCTTAATTATCTATTACGCCTACCTTCCATCTTGGCCCATTATATTAGAAACCATTATTGGGCCTATTTTCTATCTGCCCCATTAATTTTTTAAAACCCTTAGTGGACCTACTCTCTATCCAGGCCCATTAATTTTTAATACCTATTGGGCCAATCAATACTGGCTGTCGATAAAAAAATATATATTATATTAAATTTTTAAAAAATATATTAAATCAAATATTCAATTTTTATTTTTTAAAAACTTCAAAACTTCGTTCCTTTGCTTACAAAGTATATATATAGTTCTATTTTAAATCGATCAATTTAAAGTAACTATTTCAAAAATATTTCGGGTGTGTTTACTTGTAAGATTATGATTTTTGGTATTGAATAGTAAAATTTTGAATTGAAATTGTTGTTTGATGTGATATAAATATATATTGATGTGATGTTTTAAATGTAAGGTTAGATTTTAGTGTAATAAAATAAATAAAAAAATAAGTGTTTGATTTGATATTTTTAGAGAAAAAATAAAATTGAAGTAATAAAATCAGTGATATAATCCCACAAGTAAACACAATCAATTTTTTCACAAATATTTTTACTATATATCACATTATTACTTTTACACTAAAAAATAATAATAATAAAATTATCTTACACAATGTTTAATTGTATATTATAATTAAAATACTATTTACTTTCTATAGGGGGGGGAAGTATTTTATTTACAAAATTGTAATATTTAAAAAAAAAGAATTTATTAAAAGAAACACAAAGGGTGCTTTGTGTGTTTTTTTTAAAGGAGTTCGGAAAAATTGAGTTTGAGTTTGAATTGTATTTAAATTTGATAATAGGTTTGAATTTTTGTACTTCTTTATGTTTGTAGATTTGGTGGGGTACGAATAAGTGGAAAAGACTAAAATAATTTTATTAATATTATTGTGATAAAGGTAATAATATTTGTATAATATATTGTAATTTGTAATGGTATTTTTAATGTTAATATAAAATATAATTACTAAATTTGAAATTAATACTTTGTTATGAGACGAATTAAAATAAAAAAAATAAATAGATTATTAAGAGACGAATAAAGCATGTATTTTTAAAATATAATTATTAAAATAATTAAATTTACTGTAAAGTGCACAGTCGTTCAAAACAAATAATTTTTTATTGTATACTGATTCGACACAATCAGGTTAGACCTAGGTGTCATAAAAAAAATAAAAAAGGGCCAAGTTTGTCGCCTATTTTGAATATGCACCGTAGTAGTAACATACCCAAAATGTCATACAGATAATATGTATGTATGTATATGTTATATAAGTGATGGAACTACACTAGGGTTGGGGTCAATTGACCTCAAATTTAATTTTTAATGATTTTTTAGTGTTAAAAATATTAATTTTTATGTATTTATATTCAATTTATTCATTTAAAATTTTTAAAATTTATATATAATTTTATCATATTTTTATTTAAATTTATTAATTAAATATTAAATAAATTGTAATATTTAATCTTGAAGATTTAGACGCTATTTTTGTCAATTGGTGAGTAAAAAGGGTGTATATTAGTAGAAAGGGGACAGTGACTAGTGAATGACAGGCTATTTGCATGCGGAACAGGTGGCGAGTTGACCACGTGGATGTAATAAAAACGGACAAGTCAAACTAATCAATCGGCTTTTGCTACCAAAGGCTGCCGCGGAATTTTGTTGATTTACGTACGTTTACTCTTCAACATCGGGTTCCGTACAGTAAAACAACTGTAGAAGAAACTAACTAGAAAACATGAACATGGTCCGTATTCGTGTGGTCAAACAAAACAATAATAATAATAATGATATTACTATTATTATAAGATAATGATATTACAAACTAGCGACTAACACAGCTAGATCTATTATTTAATTATTTATTTATTTATTTGGAATCGATTCCCGTTTACCAGAATTTATTATGCTTCGTTGAAATCGACGAGGCTGACAATGTTTGAAGTGTCAGAATTTGATCGGGAAAGAGAAGTCAAACAAGAAGTTCTAGAAGACCACGCGCACTTTCTTCTTCATTTACATGAAATGAAATAATTTATTTAGAGAATATTAAATTTAATATATACTCTCTCCCTCTCATTTCTCCCTCTCATTTACTATGTTGTCGTTTCTATTCGTTCCACATCTGATGTCACTTCCTTTTTTTTAAAAAAAAATGATTATTCATTTTAATTTTTTTTAAAATTTCTAATTTAAATTTTTTTAATTTTAATTAAATTAATTAGTTATCTTAATCTTAATTTATAATAATTTATATTATAAATTAATTATTTTTACCAATATATTTTTAATTATCTATTAATTATACTTATCATAAAATTCTCGTATCTATAGTGACCAAGACACCCATTATAAATCAGAGATAGTATTATAATCCACACATAAATTAAAAAAAAAAAAGTAAAACAGGGGGGCAGGTGACCATTGACATCGACCCAGCAACAATAACTACACTTGAACTGTCAAAACTAATTTTATCCAACGGTAGACCCGACCACCCACCCCATAATTCAATTCTATTAATTAATTTGATCTTTCCTATGTCTCTGTCGTAAATATATATAAAAATGATTATAATACCGGACAGATATAATATACTATTATTAATATTACTATTCTATTATGTAGAAAGTGACGTGGTGAATGTTTGAAAATAATTGGTGTATATGGAAATAGATAGATAGAATAGAATCCAACATTTTATTAATTGGTCGAGTTCAATCCAGAACAGGACATTTGTCGAATAAAGGGGGCCAGGGCCAGCCCAACCCAACGCCTATGCCAAGACAAGGACTGCCAGATCAATGCCAACTTATACAACTATATTTATACAATTCTAAATTAAAATAATAAATTTTTAGAAAAGCAAAACAAGTCACTATTATTTTATTCCTTGTTTGAATAATAATGAAGGAAAAGGAAAGATAATGATAAAAGATAAATAATAAATAAAACAAAATCAATTCAATCCCAACAAGTGATTCATCGAATATTTGCAATCCAATCAAATTCTTTTACCATTATTTGGTTTTTCCTTTTTGTTTTTTTTTTTCCAAATAAATAAACACTTAATTTAAATTTAAATTTAATTTAATTCCACCACACGAAAGAATTGAAGGGCATTTTGGTCAAGAAGAAAGAGACGGGAATCTAGTGTGTCGCGGCAACAGGGTGACCCTGCAATCGTCCTTAGGGACGATCGTGGGGACATACGAGAGTTCATCACAGCCGTCCGATCGATCTCTTTTGAAATCAACGAGGGTGACGAACATGGCGATGAAGAGCATTAGATGGTTAATTGCATACCTCTGTCCCACGCATTGGTGGGCCCCAGCGCCAAAGGCTAGAAAGTTCTTTTTGTAGACCCGGTCCTCCTGCCGCTCCTCCATGAACCGGTCCGGGTCGAACCGCTCCGGTTCGGTAAACCCCTGAAAGGAAGAGTCCAAGACGGAGGGGAACACAATGGTGCCCTTCGGAATTACATAATTTTCCGTCAGGGGAAAGTCTACGGCGGCGATGTGCGGCACCATGGTCGCCGGAGCTCTGATCCTCACGACCTCACGCGCCACCGCCTCTGTGTACTTCATCTCCCGCAGCTGCTCGCCGGTGAGGACGGAATCGCTGTCCGGCGACCAGTGTATCAGCACCTCTTTTCTCACCCTTTCGAGAACGTGAGGATGGGAATCGAGATACGCAATCGCCCACAGCAACGATGAAGTGGAAGCATCCTGCGAGGCGAACAGGAAATCGAAGAGATGACCGCCGATTTCTCTGAAGCTGTATTCAAATGGCTTCTCCGAGCACTCTCTCAAATTTCCCTGCATCCAGAAGTCAATCAGGCAAGTCGGTTCCTCTCCTGCTTTCATCCTCTTCTCACTCTCCTCCGCGCATACCGCGAGCGTCTCGACGAGCCTATCCACGGCGAGCCTGGCGTCTCTGAAGGCGAATCCGGGGAAATCGAAGGGGAGCTTCATCAATCCAACGTTGAAGAAATTATAATCTCTATTAAACCGCCTGCGCGATTCCTCATCCAAATAAGGACCGACGAAAACCGTCTGCGAGGTTTCCAAATTCATATCGCGACAGAGGATCCGAAGCGGAATGGCAGCGCCGGAGGAGGTCCTGCACCATGAGGCGAGATGCTTGAGAATAATACGCTGCTGGATGTATGTGTAAGTCTGGAGCGCTTTGGGGGTGAAATTGGGGGCAATACGACGGCGCAAATCCTTGTGCTCCTGCCCTAGCATATAAATCAAATTGTGCTCGCCGAAGAGCTTCTTCCCAAAAGGATGTCCGATGAGCAGAAACGCGTCGGGGCGGACGTTGGCGAAGATCTTGTGGGAGAGGTCGGAGGAGTAAATGTAGAGAATGTAGCGGCCGATGATGTAGTTGGCGGAGATTCCGAGGGGGGTGGATTTAGCGTAGGAGGATTGCTGGTCCCAGAAGGCAGTGGGGTTGGAGACGAGGGAAATGGCGTTGCCAATGAAGGGCAGAACGAAGGTCGGGCCAGGGAGGAAGCCTTTCTTCTTGAGGTACAAGATCTGTTCGAAGAGCAGAAGCAGGGCAAACGCCGAAACCAGGTACGGAACAGCTGTGATCCAACTCACCTCCATTTCTCAAATTTTCTTGTCTTCTTGAGGCCAGGGACGAGGGATGGATGATTTATTAATGGGTGGTGTTGGTGTTCCAAGGAAGGAAGGATTTGGATTGGGATTGGGATTTTGGGAAGGTCAAAAACAGGCTACTACTGCTGCAGTTTTGAATTTTGATTTTGAATAATAATAGTATTAGCAGTGGATTGATTATAGAAAGAGGGGAGATCAAAGCCAAACCCAAACCCAAAATTGGGATTTAGGGGGAGGGGAGGTGGGTTTTGGAGAAATTTGGCGAGTCTGGTCTAGTCTAGTCTAGTCTGGTCTAGTCAAGATGCTATAATGTCGGGCTGGGGGGTAGCCGGCCAGGCCTGGCAGGCGGGGACGGGTGGGTGTTAATTTCGGGGAAGCGGCTGGGTTTTAAATATGAATAGGGAGCCGAACATATTTGAATTATTTAGTTATTTATTTATTTGCGCGTGTTTATATACAATAGTTATTCCTACGTAATCAATGAATCATTTGTTTAGTGGAAGCTGTTATGGGGTCAAGTCACTGTTGTATTAATTTGAACAAATTAGTACACTAATTTTAATACAAGATAGACAATATTTTTTTAGTTTTACGTAATATGTTTATTTTTTCTATTTTCATCATAATTTGTTTTATATATATAATTATACACTTTAATTATTTTTAGATAAACTATTTAGTTATTTTAATTTTAATTTTTATTAAATTATAAATTATAATTACTTTTCCTAATATATTTAATTACATAATACATCAAACTATCCGACCAACTAAAGTGGACAAATTAGCTGAGACCGAAAAAAGCTGATTTCGGATATTTTTGAAAATTTGATTAGAAATTAAAGTAAACGAAGAGATAATATAATAACGTTAATGGATTTTTTATATAAATAAGTATTGAATAGAGACTAATAATTAAACATTGATTTGATGATTTTATCAAAATTAATAATAAAGTAAATTTAGTGAAAATAAATTGACGAACAGAGGGAGTATATTCGCAGCCACTATTCTAAATTTTCCGCCGAACCTAATACTCTGCAAACTAGGTCCGACAAGGCAAGTCACACTCCGACCGAATCTAATACCTTGCAAACTAAGTCTGACAAGACAAGTCACACTAAACGAACCACGCGTGGCAGATGGATCTGATAGCGTGGGGAGTGAACTTGTGATGAGATCATGGGTTCAAATTCAGGTCATCCCGAGACTTAGACATTGTATTACATATTGTATTATAAGATATGTGCTATATATTTATTTAAGTATTGTTTGTTTTTGTATATTTTTGCAGACTGAATCAAATTAGCTTGGTATCTATAAATTTATTGGTTCTAATTTTAATATAATTATATATATATATATATATATATATATATAAATAATGCTATATATTTATTTCTTGCATTCCCCACCGATCCTGGGCGAGCCATAAAGTTAGCTATTTGTTCATTTTGCAGTGGATACGTCGAATCCGAATCATAAAATACTAACTCAACAAATAGCAAAGCAATCAAGGCAAGGTGAAAAATAGCAAGACATACAATATGATATATGACTTTGTTTCCATTTTTAAGGATTTGAGAACTTTATGTGGAGTTTGATATTCTTGTGTATGAGTTCTTAGCATTGCTTCAAATTCTTTATTATGATCAGATCCATGCATGTTGCTATTTGCATTAGCTATTTTCTTTAAACAATTTTACATGATAATAACTTTTGATATACGTCTCCATTATTCAAAGAGGTAGCTCACTAGTCCCGTATGGAATGGTCTGGTGGTGTAAGGCTTGAATTTGTGACCGTGAAGTCATGGGTTCAAACCCCCGATGCCTCAGGTCATTTGCCACACATGGTTCGCCTGGTGTGACTTTCCTGTCGAACTTAGTTTGCGGGTTATTAGGTTTACTCAGTGAGCAGGAGTATATACTTATATGTACTCATAAAGATTCAACAATACTACTCTCTTTGTCCATTAAAAAAGTATAAATATTTTTATTTTAGGTTTGTCCAAATACAAATCATTTCAAAAATACCATATTTTTTCTACAAACACTTATATTTTATCATCACCCCGTTACTTTTACACCAAAAAATAAAAATAAATTTATTTTTACACTATTTTTAACTATTTAGTATAATTAAAATACTATTATTTTTTAAAAATCGCGCCAAAAGTAAATTTATACTTTCAAATTGAACAAAGATAATACTTTTTATATTACCAATGCAAATTTTCATATCAATTACTTCTTCCGTCTCGATATTATATCTTGGTTAATGTAGATACGAAAATTTAAGAAGCATGTTATTAATAAATAATTAAAAATGTACTAGTAAAATTATTTATAATTTAATACAAATAATTATATTAAAATTAAAATAATTAATCAATAAAAAATATAAAAATTATAAAAATTAAAATATAATTAATGTGTAATTTTTTTATTTTTTATTTTAAAAAAAGAACAATGACATAAAACATGAAACACACAAAAATAAATAAAAAAATGTACTTCGTCCGCCCTTTACCGCGTCCACTTTTTCATTTTGATTCTGTCAACTTATCCTGTCATTTTCGATTTTTGAAAAAGAATGATACAATTTAATCTCATTTTAAATTTTAGTTAGACTAATTAGTTATTTTAATTTTAATTTAAAATTATATTTTCTAATACGATAATTATTTTCAGTAATACATTCTTAATTATTTACTAATTATATTCATCATAAATTCTCATGTCTACAATAAAAACGACAGAGAGAATAATATTATATGTGGGACTGAAAAAGTATGAAAAATGCTTCCATTAAAAAATACAAAATTAACAAACCCAAAATAGTCCTTTAATTTGTAGAAAGAGAAACAAAAATTGGGAAGGTATGGTGACAAAAAAAATAACTGATTATTATAGTTGAAGTGTCCATCATTTGAAATTGGTTACTACAGTTACTCTACTAATCTATAAAAGTCTTTTAGCATTTAATTACAACTGAAAGTCATTTACGGTATCTATAAAAGTCTTTTAGAACATTTAATTACAACTGAAAGCCGTTTACGTTCCTATACGTATTGTAAAAAGTTACTGTACTAGTCTATAAAAGTCTTTTAGCACGTTTAATTACAGCTGAGCCATTTAAGGGACCTATATGTATTGTAATAATATCATCTACTCGGCACGTTTAATTACAACCTTTTAATTGGAGTATTTGGTTTTGACACATAAATTATAAATTAAGAAAAATAAATATTTTTATTAAAAAAGTGATAAAAGTAAAACAATAGTTGACAGTATTTTTAAAAATTTAGATAAAAATTAAAGATAATGAGAAAAAAAAATTAATAAAGATAATAATATTTGTTTGTAGATAAATGTTGAATAAAAAATAATAATTAAATATTGATTTGTTGAGTTCGTCAAAATTAATAATAACTAAATTTAATGGACATTTAAAAAAAAAATAATAATACTCCCTCCGTCCCATTGAAAGGTTACCATTTTTTATTTTCGTCTGTCCTAAAACAAGGTTACCATTTTCTAATTTAGTAATTGTACTACTATTTACCTAACATAATAAATACTCTTTCAACTTACAATATATAACACAAATGTCATTATTTTTATATTACACCATACTAATACTAATAGGAGTATTTTTGTCTTTTTCACTACAATTCAATATAATACTAATATTAAAAAATCTACGTGCAAAAAGCAAATAATACTCTTTCTAATTGTACAAAGGAAGTAGTAAATTTGACCAATGAATAGAGTAATTGTTATTAGTATTTTGAAATATTGAAATTATTCAAATTAAATCAACACATATATTAATTGAAATTTTATGTAAAAAAAATAATATAACAAAGGTGCATTTACTTTGTAGGATAAAATTATAGCACATATATTATTATAATGATTATATAATTATATGAGAAAATAATTTAATTTTTATTATAACTTATTATTGTATAAAATTATTAATTTGGTCTAGAATACCCTTAATTAAATGATAAAAATTAATAGTAAGACAGATATTAATGAAAAATAAAATAGTTTTTTTTTTTTTTACAGTGATTATACCCTAATATTATTTAATATCAGTTATAAGAGAATGATTAATAATTTTTAATTATAATATTATTATACCAAGCTTTATTGTATTACGAATTATAATATTAAAATAATACTCCCTCCGTCTCAAAAGAGTTGTCTTGTTTTTCCATTTTCGTTCGTCCCAAAACAATTGTCTTGTTTCCTTATTTAGTAATCGTGGTCCTATTTTATAACAAAATTATTCATACTTTTCCAAACTACCCATAATTATTACTCTAACTACCTTTTAAAATCCTTAAAAAATAAGGACATTTTAGTCTTTTACATTCTATTTTATACTACTTTCAATTAAATACTATTATTCCTTAATTCTCGCGTCACTCTCAACAAGACGCTTCTTCTGGGACGGAGAGAGTATATAGTAAACACACTATTAAATTGGTTAAAATAATATTAGTTACCCTGATCATCCAAAATAAACACATTCTAAATATATAAATTAAATATATTGTTCATACAATATAACTGAGAAATGACTAATATTGTTCTCAAATTTATAGATAGTTTTTTTCTTATATTTTTAAATTTTCAAAATAATCAACTAATAATTTTTTTTGTTAGAAGCGCTCAATTCTTTAAAAAGGTAAGCTCAATTCTTTAAAAAGGTAATACATGCTTGTAATTTAATAATTTGATTGAAGATAATAGTCCCATTGTAGATTTTTTTTTTGGTTAGAAGCACTCTATTCTCTAAAAAGATAATACGTGCATATGATTAAATATTTTGAATTAAGATAATAATCCCATCATCGTAGAAATTTTTTTTGTTAGCACTCAATTCTTAAAAAATGTAATACATGCTTGTGATTTAATATTTTGAATGAAAATAATAATTCCTTGTAGAAAAAATTGAAAAAATAATGATAAAAATTATTGGAGAAAACATATGCTCCTCTTAAGAGTGTTTTTTCTTTAGGATTTTGAAATTTTATTATTATTTCTTCAAGAATTATAGAAAAAAAAAATTAAAGCAAATACTTATTTTATTTATATTATATTAAATTTTATTTTAATTCAAAATATAGTCATCAATATTTTTTAAATATCATATAAAGTAATTTTTTAAATTCAAATTTTTTACTCAAACTACAAACTAATCAATAAAAAAATAAATGTACAGACAACTGTAAATTGTTCTGCGTGTCAAATATTGGAATTACCACTTAAATTAACACAGCCACATTTCTTGGAAAAAAGAAAAGAAAGGCACTAATGCCTCTCTAGTATTGTGAAGGTCCGTTTGTTAGTTGACAAGAACCACTTGTAATTTAAGTGGTAATTCCAATATTTAAGTGGTAATCATGAAAGCTAATTAATTCATTCAATAGTAGATTCTTGAGATGCTTAGAGCAAGTAATTGGGCACCTAAAGATTAATTAATTAAGCCTTTTTTTTATCTCCCACTGCCCATGACAATAATTTAAATTTATGGGGTTTAGCAAAGTCTTTGAATCAGTGAAAGAAATTGGAAGTTCAAGCCCAATAATTTATTGGCCCAGAATTATAGAACTAAGGTTCAATAATAATTGATCCAGTAAGCCTTGGAATCCAAATATCCAATCAACCAATAAAAATGCAAGAAGCACACTCTATACATCCCCCACCGTTTGTAATTTATTTATATGCAACCTAAATGATTGTAATGCTTAATCAAGTGGGGGAAGTCAAATTAGATAATGGAGATTGGGGGCTAGGTAATCTAAATTTTCTTTTTCTTTAGGACAGGATAAGTGCCAAACCCTACCATTATAAATGTATATATGGGATATCACTACTAGCTAAGAATGTTAATGAAGCACATATATATATACATATATACATATATATCTCATGCATATAATATAAAGGACAAATAAAATAACAGGCTAGAAATAAATCAATTTCAAAACTATGCAAGGGCCTCATGAATTCTAAGACTTCTGGGTTAAATTTAAATAAATAGTGAATTGTTGGATCTGTGTGGGCATGCATATTAGACTGAACCAGTGTAAGCTTTTTCCATATATTGCTCGTATGCACTACAAGTTTACTATTTTCTATTGCCCCATTGATTAATCAAGAAAGTACAACATGAAAACGCATGTGTCCACTAATATCTAATAATATATGGATCCTTCTTCATGTGATTCTGAAAGGTATGGACAAGAATATGGATCACAAATCATATTGATATCTGGACTGATCGTCTAGTGCATCTCAGCATAAAAGCACGTGGGATTTGTGTACACTATCCATTATCAACATTATTCTAACATGTATGTTTATAATTGTAGGTAGATAAATGCACAGTAAACCTCAGAATTTTTAATGTGCATATACACTACAACTAGAGAAGGAGCTATATCTTTATTTCAGATTAAGTGATAGAGCATGCACTTGTTTAAGTCAGTGAAAGTCAATAGTCGAAACGTTATTACAAATTAATCCAAAGATATAGATTAGCATCATAGTGAGTAGCCTTAAAGATGCAATCTAATAATCAGTTAAGTAAAGGCTTATAACTCAAGCAGGACAAGAAAATCTAGAATAATCATGTAATGAAGGACCACCATTGTTGGGAGGAGCATGAAGTCCATTACCTACTTCAAGATTGTCTGTATACAATCACAAGAACTCAATCTTTGTACATGGACCAGTTCTTCTATATTCTCATTTGAAATTTGAACAATTAATCCTAAAACAACACTTGGTTTCTCCTTTGACAAAACAGTTTAAACAGTACTAATCTTGCTTGTCCATTTCTAGATGCTGAAATGAAATCACTAGCTATATCTCCATAATCTTGTCCTCTTGATTTTTTGGTACATACCATCAGTATTTCCCCCATTTATTTTTATGGAGCTTCCATCATTTCCACCACCATGAAACACCGGCAATCCCCATTCCATCTTTGCCTAGCTACCCCTACCCTTCTTTCTCCTAGAACCATTTCTGCAACTTCTACCTCTGACAGTATTCCGGCTGTCGTCCACTACCTTTCATATCATTCCTAGTAGTGCCTCTAACAACATATTACCGGCATAGTTACTCCAAAAATATTTATCCAGGGTTAAAGAAAATTTCCTTCCCAGGAAAATTGGTGGGAGGATCAGGAAACCATAGACTCAAGCATCTCCAATGCTTATCTACATAAATCCAAAAATCCTTAAATTCCGAGCAGTTTAAGGTTTCAACACACAGGCTTCATTGTTGTAAGCTGCATGAAGTTCCCACATTAAATAACCCCTCCATCAGTAAACTTTGCATAGAAGAGTTTCCGATGACCAAAGGCTTATTTTCTAACAATCAACTCCGATCCTTAGGAGCCATGATCAACCAATCAACAAACCGCCAAAGATACATCATTTCACCATCAGAACCATCGTATAGGTGTTTATGACTTTCACCTCACTTCTTGATCCACAAGTATCGTTTAAGCCACTGCCTCTGATTGTCTATTATTATACTATTGCAGGGCTTGGGAGACATTCCTAATTCTCCTTGTCATCTATTCTGCCTGGATTTGTCCATTTGAGTTAGCATTTCCAACTTGCAATCAAGATGCATTCCTCATTGTTGACAACATAGTCAACTTTTTATTTGCTGCTGACATTGTTCTTACTTTCTTTACCGCATATATTGATAGCAGCACATATGCTCTAATTAATGATCCAAAAAGAATCGCAATAAGGTAATGATCACCTCATAAAGCTTTTTGAAGTACAAAAATCCTACATATGTTCATACCTGAGGCAGATTTCTTCAAACAGGTATCTGTCAACCTGGTTCATCTTGGATGTCTGTTCAACAATACCATTTCATTCCCTCAGTATTCTAGTTACAGATCACAATGGAGGACCTGGCTATAGCTTTCTAAGTATGCTACGATTATGGCGTCTCAGACGAGTCAGTGCCCTCTTTGCAAGGTCTGAGTTTCTGTAAAAATTCCAACAGCATCGTACGTTCAACTTGTCCATTAAATGACTTCTTTTTTTCCAGGCTTGAAAAGGACATCCGATTCAACTATTTCCAGATTCGCTGCACAAAACTTATATCTGTAAGCCACTGTTAGTTCCCACATGCTGAATCGTCAACTTTCTGTGCATTTTTAAACTAAACAATGCTACCTCAACTAAATAAATACAGGTTACACTGTATGTTGTACATTGCGCGGGATGCTTCAACTACACAATTGCTGACAGATACCATGATCCTAAAGAGACCTGGATTGGGGATGTTGATCCAAATTTCAAGGAAAGGAGTATCTGGGATAGATATGTAGCAGCATTGTATTGGTCCATTGTGACACTAACTACAACAGGTTATGGAGATTTTCACGCCAAAAACACAAGAGAGATGCTCTTTCAGGCTTTCTATATGCTATTCAACCTTGGATTGACATCTTATCTCATAGGAAACATGACAAACCTTGTAGTTCACTGGACCCAGCGCACCAGAAAGTTTGTAAGCTCTTTCTCCCTCTCAAAAATTTCCTGCCTTCCACTCTGCATCACCAAAATATTTCATCTGACCTTTCAAATGATGGGTCCGTTCTGTAGCGAGATTCTATCACAGCTGCAACAGAATTTGCCAAAAGGAACCAGTTGCCTTCTAGTATTCAACATCAACTTCTGTCCCATGTATGTCACAAATTCAAGACAGAAGGATCGAAACAGCAAGAGACACTGGATGGATTACCTAAAACAATTCGTTCCAGCATTGCATGCTATCTGTTTTACCCCGTTCTTCAATATGTTCCACTCTTCCGTGGGGTTTCCCAAGACTTTCTCTTCCAGTTGGTACACCACCTTCATCCCAATTCATGCTTAGTGCTCATTTTTTCTTTTTCTTTTTCTGTGAGTTATTGTTTTGAAAGATTTATAGTACTTGCAATTCATATTGGAAGGTCTCTGTAATGGAGGCTGAGTTTTTCCCGCCTCGGGAGAAAGTGATCCTGGAAAATGAGGCGCCAACAGATACATACATACTGGTCTCTGGAGCAGCGGTTAGTAATTAAACTATTCCTAGACAAAATGTACATGAAACTGCAGAATATCTTAAAATGTTTCTGCTTGTTGCCAGGATTTTATTGCAAAGACAAACGAGAATGATCAAGTAAGAGTTGTTGCCTAAGTTCTGGAAATAGAAACAGAGGGACAGTGGTATGGAGTTAATTTTGCATTATGTGCAGATTATTGGAAAGGCTTCCCCAGGGGAAATATTTGGAGAAATTGGAGTTCTATGTGAAAAGCCTCAGCCATTTGGAGTTCAAACAACTAAAGCTTCTCAAATGCTAAAGCTGAGTAAGACTTCATTTCTTAACATACTCAAAGCAAATCCTGTAGATGAATGCGTTATCATGGCCAACCTGAACCAGGTAAATCTCAAACCAGTTTATACCTATTAAGATAAACTTTCTTTATTCCAAACCTAACTGAATAATTAATCTGTTCAAGAAACTGATGGCATGGAGAACTTTAGACATTGAGTGTGGTCAACCGTGTCCAAGACTTATCCCTAAAAGTTGGTTTGATGAAGATTCTAGCACAAACTATAATGCTTGTGCTGAAGGTAATGATAACCCCTGATGATACACAAATAAATGGAAAGTAAAAGGAGATAGTTCTAATTCAAGATTTATGTCAGGAAACCAACCTGGATGTGAAAGCTGCGCAATTTCATCTTATAAGGATAACCAAGACGCCCTTCGATTTGCAAGTGACCAAGAACATTTTGAAATCCTGTATCATAAAGGTGAACATAAATCAGACAGAGAGACTGATTACAACACCAACCATTACAGAAAGCATACATACCCTTGCTCGAGCATGCATATGCATCCAACAAATGCACAGGGAAAAGAATCACAAAAGAGAGTCATCATCCACATGAAGTTTGTAAACCAGGACGTATCCCAAAGGCAGCTACCCAAGCTAATAATTCTACCTGATTCCATTGAAGAGCTACTCAAAACAGCAGGTGAGCATTGATTGATTTATCCATTTTCACACTGGAAATTTCTCAACACTTGAAGCACGTAATGAAACTCTAGACGCAAATCCTTCCATATTGTTACATTTGAGAATCTCCTCTTTACAATTTCACTGCAGGCCAAAACTTCGGAGATGAAAATCTTTCAACAGTCCTAAGTGCCGAAAATGCTGAAATCAAAGACGTAAATGTCATACGAGATGGCGATCATTTGTTTCTTCTCCAAGCCTGTGATGATAAGGTGGCTCGAGCCAAAGCAGATGAGAAGAATATGACATGGAAATAGAAAGCAAGCAATTCGAATAAGCACATGTCAAACGAAATCGTAACAGATTGAGCGTCCCAATAGATACAATGCATATCTGAGGATAATAATAAGAAACTATTACCAAAAACTTGCACTAGAAAATACAGGATTAAAGCCATCAACAATGAGCTCACTGTATTATCATTAATCAGCTACTGATGTCGAAAACAATGTATGCTCAAAATGCTCAAATCTATTCTTCTTCTTCTTCTTATGTTAGATTCCTATGTAAAAAAAAAAAAGGTATGTAAACTCGAACGAGAACAGTGCGAGATGAAACGCCATGAAAATCATATAACGAACTTTCAATCTTCTGGATTCTTCGATGTAGCAAACCAGGAAACTTAACTAGGGATCAATAATCACCTGATTTTCCTTGTTACAGTGCAGCAGATCAAAGCCCGATAACTCGTGTTATCCGCCATATTCGCATCAAATGGCTCCTCGGGGAAGCTCGGAAGCCATGAAAATGGTTTGGCGTCAAATTGGAGTGCGATTGCGTCAAAATGCAGAGCAGACTTTCCCGCCCAGTACCATTTATCCTCTGTACATGGGCCTCCATATTCCATAAGCCCAAAACTATTATACTCCATATCTATAACGATAACATTAAGTGGTGCTGATTAAATTCATACTGCACGGTTATTATCTACAGTTCTATTTACTTTTTTTGTTACTTAAATAAAAGGATATTTAAGAGTCTATAATATATATTTTCTCCCTCTATAAACATTCTACTTGCTAATTTGAAAGGTTGGATAACTTTTATTTTTTTTAACACGATTTTTTTTACCCTCTTATACATTTATCATTTTAATTATATTTTTTACTCATTTTTTTTTTTAATTCTATAATTATTTATTTATAAATTTTAAAAATAAAATTTGCTAAAACTAAATAATTAAACCAAATCGTCAAATCAGATTCCTCGGTCAGTCTAACATCAATTCTCCAATGCAGACCTTTAGTGCAGCACTAAATGAGTAAAGATTAGAATATTGTAGTAAAGACACTTGTCCTATAATAAACTTAAGCAATTTGAATCTTCTTACAACCGTTTATATTTACTCTAAATGATACGTTCACCACATCATCATTAAACATATTTTTCTTTCATTGGGCTCATATTCGTCGTGCAGCGCATTTAGTAACTCCAAATTGATGGATAATTTTTTTTACGGAATTCAATCTTACTTTCTATATATGTTTTATTGAAAAAGAATTTGTAACATTAATTTTATTTATCTTGTGAGACTATTCTATTTGACTTTAGACACTTTGAGATTATTTTCATCTAACACTCTTAACTCCATATCATAAATTTTGAAAGATAGTGAAGTAGAGGCTTACCAGTAAATATTTGAAAATGGAATACTTATATAGATGGTTGAAAAAAAAAATGATAGAAAACTTCAATTCATTTGTTGGCAAAATGAAATTAGTAAAAGTGCAGCAAAAATTCAAATAATAGATAAAATAAAGAAAAAAGAAAAATGGATTTGACACTTTGAATCTGTTGAACAAAAAATATTTGCTCTAAATTGAATGTCTAACACAATTAAATAGGAATTAAAACAATTATATCTTTTTCACGCGATTTTTTTTCGATTGCAAATTTCTTAACCACAATTAATGTAAGGATCTGCAATATGCTTATTTAAACAATACATTTGGTTGTCCTCCACATGTTGTGCTCTAATTCTCTAAACTATTCTTTAATTTTCAATAAAAATACGAAGCAAATAATGAAATTTGATATGAAGAAATGGATAAACTGAATGGATGGAAAAGAAGGGGAAGAAAAAAATCCTTAGAGATATAAAAAAAAAATGTACAGAATGAAAATGAAAAAAATTGTCAAATAATTAAGAAAAAATAATTGCATAAAAGACTGTGTAAATAACCTCTGGTAGCAAAAAAAAAAAAAAGGTAAACAATTAAGAAAAAATGATACTCCCTCCGTCGTTGTCATTTTTCATTTTCGTCCGTCCCAAAACAAGGTTACTATTTCTTAATTTAGTAATTGTACTATCTACCTAACATAATAAATATCCTTCCAACTTGCACTATATTACACAAATGTCATTACTTTTATATTACAATAATGGGGGCATTTTCGTCTTTTCACTACAACTCATTATAATACTAATATTAAAAAATTTACGTGCAAAAAGTAAACGGCAACCTTGTTCCGGGACACGGATGGAGTAGAAAAATACTATGTAAATAATTAAGAAAAAAATAATAGAGAATTTAATTCCTTTCATGTAATGTGTAGAGAATGAAAAGACTGTAAATAATTAAGAAAAAAAAATATAGAAAATTCAATTCATTTGGTGGAAAAACAAAATTAATAAAATTGCCGCAAAAATTTTAAATAGTAGATAAAATAAAGGGAAAAGAAAAACCTATTTGACACTTACAATTTGTTGAACAAAAGATATTGGTTACAAATTTGGATATCTAAAACAATTAAATACAAATTAAAATAGTCAAATTTTTGCTATCTTGCAGTGCTTTTTTCGATTGTAAATCACTTAACCACAATGAATGCAAGGATCTGTAATGTACTTATTCAAACAATACATTTGGTTTTCCTCTTTATATTGTGCACTAATCTTCAATTTTACTCTTCCATTTTCAATAAAATATGATGTATGAGATGAAGTTTGATACAAAAAATAGATAAATTGAAAGAGTGGAGAAGAAAAAAAAATAAGGGTGGGACAAATAAAGAAAAAAGAGGAAATAAAATGTCTACAGAATAAAAATAAAAAAATAAAATAAGAAAAAAGACAAAATTGTCAAATAATTAAAAAAAATAAATAATTGCATAAAAAACTGTAAATAACATTTAGTAGTAAAAAAACGACTGTAAATAATTACAAAAAAAATAATAGAAAAAGATTGTGAATAATTTTAAAAAAAAATAATAGAAAATTCAATTTATTTGATGGAATGTGTACATGATGAAAAACATTGTATAAATAATTAAGAAAAAAATGATAGAAAATTCAATTCATTTGGTGCCAAAATAAAATTAACAAAATTGTGAAAAATAGATTTGACACTTTGAATTCGTTGACAAAATTGGATGTCTAACACATTTATATATGAATTAAAACAGTCGTACCTATGATATTTTGCTACTTTTCTTTCTATTGTAAATCTCTTAACCATAATGAATGCAAAGTTCTACAACATATTCATTCGAACAACACATTTGTTTCTCATCTTCGTATTATGCCATAACTTTCATATTTACTCTTTCATTTTCAATAAAATATGAAGCATAATATAAAATTTGATATAAGAAATTAATAAATAAAAAGAGCATAGAAGAAAAAAAATATCTATATATAAAAAAAGAAGAAATGGAATGTTTACAAAATAAAAAATACAAAATTCTCAAATAATTAGGAAAAAATAATTGCATGAAAGACTGTAAATACTCCTTGGGATAAAAAAGTGCTGGGTAAATAATTAAGAAAAAAATAATAGAAAATACAATTCATTTGGTGGCAAAACAAAATTAGTAAAATTATGGCAAAAATTTCAGATATTAGATAAAATAAAGGAAAAAGAAAAACTAATTTGAATAATTGAATTTCTTGAACAAAAGATATTATAAAATTGAATGTGTATCAAATTTAAATAGGAATTAACACAGTAATACTGTTGAGATTTTGTTATTTTTCTTTTAACCGTAAATCTTTTAACAATAATGAATGCAAGGATCTGTAACATACTTATTCAGACAATACATTTGTTTCTCATCTTCGAATTGTGCTCTCATCTTCGAATTGTGCTCTAATCTTCAAATTTACTCTTCCATTTCAATAAAATATAAGGCATAAGATGAAGTTTGATATAAAAAATACATAAATTAAAAGAACAGAGAGAAAAATAAAAAAATAAAAAAAAAAAATTGAAGAGATCAAAGAAAAAAAAGAAGAAATGTGTGTTTTTTTACACAAAATTTTCAAAATGTTATTATTTGGATTCCGCCTTTTTCGAAATAAATACACTTTTTTCCCTTATAAAACATCTCATCAAACATTATTTTAATACCAAACTCAAACCAAATTTTCTTAAACTCAACCAAAAGAAACACTGTAAATACTGTAAATACTGAAAAATACAAAATTGTCAAGTAAATAGGAAAAAATGATTGCATAAAAGACTGTAAATACTAGTTCAATTCATTTGATGGAATGTGTACATAATGAAAAAGACTGTGTAAATAATTAAGAAAAAAATGATATAAATTTCAATTCATTTGGTAGCAAAACAAAATTAGTAAAATTGTTGCAAATAATTCAGATAATAGATAAAATAAATGAAAAAGAGAAACCGACACTTTGAATTTGTTGAACAAAAGATATTCGCTACAAAATTGAACGTCTAACATAATTAAATAGAAATTAAAACAGTCATACCTTTGTTATGATGCTGCGATTTTTCGATTGTAAATCTTTTAACCACAATGAATGCAAGGATCTGCAACATACTCACTCAAACAATACATTTGTTCCTCTTCTTCATGTCGTGCCCTAATCTTCGAATTTAGTCTTACATTTTCAATGAAATATGATGCAGAAGATGAAGTTTGATATAAAAAATGGATAACTGAAATTCTATAGAAGAAATGGATAAGGGGAAAAAGAGAAGAAAGAAAGAAAAAATGTGCGTTTGAGAGATAAAGAAAAAGAAGAAGAGAATATATACATAATAAAATAAGTAAATTTGTCAAATAATTAAGAAAAAAGAATTGCATAAAAAACTGTGTAAATAACTTTTCAGAAAATATATTAAATTTTAAGCTGCTATAATAGTATGCTAATAAATTTAAATGAAATATAAAAATTATATTTATTAAATTACAAAATAAATATAATGACTGTAGACAATCAGCATAACAAAATAATGAATTATATATATGTCACGTAACAATCATAGCTAAAAAAAATATATAAATATAAATTAATTGACATAATAAAATAATTTTAACTGTTTTAGAATTTGAATAATGTTTTCAATCTAATATTGTGAAAAATAATAATATATATTTTACATAGAATCATAATAATTTGTTATACAATAAAAATATAAATCAAATTTCAAAAAGAAAAATAACGCTCAAATTAACTATTTATATATATATTCAAAACATATAAATAATATTCTAAATATAGTTTTACTATTGAACAATAGGTTACCAAATATATATGCTTATAATCAAAACATACAAATAATGTAATAATATAAATTTTTATTGCCAATGTATATAACTGGATAAATAATATATTATGTATATATATGCTTATAATCAAAACATACAAACAACATAACAATATAAATTTATGTTCAATATATATAATTAAATAAATAATATATTATGATAGATCATTTCACTTAAGAAATTATGATAGAAATATAAATTAATAATTAGTTTATATATATCAATCAACAAGTTTCATCACTTGCACATGAATATATATCATCAGTCTTAAGTTCGACTTTCAAAGTTATAATACACATTAGATGATCAAAGTGATCGTCTCGTATAAAAACTTAAATTATTAAAAATATCTGTTATTAATTATTTTATAACATATTAGAGTCATTCCACAAATTCAACATATGCGATTTAAACCTACACAATAATATTCAACATACAGCATCTCTTGCAATTACGTTTTCTCATAAATAATATTGAAAGTATACAATATATACATATAGTTATAATAAGTCAATAAAATATACAAATTTTTTTTTATAGATAATAATTTTATGACTTTTTATATTTTGCAACAAAATATTGGAAGTTATAAATACTAAATGTGTGTTTGTTTGAAGGATTATTTTATATGACAGGGTACAATTATTTTATATCACATAAATACTTATTTATATTCCACCATACAACTATTTTAATTTTAAAATTCAAATTTCAAATCAACATATTCAATTAAAGGAAAGATGATATAAGTATGTTTAATTTTAATTCCAAATTAATTTTTTATACAATTTAATCTATACATTTTTTTAGTAAAGTTACATTAATTTCTCAAATATTTGTATATGTTAACCTATACAATTTTTAATAAAATATATAGAAAATTTGGTGAAATTAAAAAAAAAAAAAAAAATTCACTAAACTTCCTAATTTTAAATTCAATTTTCTATTTACTTTTTATATACTAAATTTTTTTCTTTTACTTTCTATTCTTTATTAATCCTTTTTTTTTTTACTTTCTATTCACTTAAAATTTCTACAATACCCTTATTTATTTTCTTTTATTAACATCATTTTTTTTATCTTTACATATAAGCCTTAATTTCTACGGTATAATTTCACTTATTTAATATTAAAAAATAAATAAATAAGTAAATAGACAACAATATGAAAAATAAATAATTATATAAAATATATATTTGCAATCTTTAAATAATTATACAAAATATTTATAGAAAAATATCAATTTCGATCAAATAAAGTATGTGATACTCAATTTTACAAATACAATAAGTAGGTTAATTTTATAAATACTTACAAAAAAAAATTATATTTCCTCCGTCCCGTTGGAAAAGTGACGTTACTTTTTGCACGTAGATTTTTGAATATTAGTATTATATTAGATTATTGTAAAAAAAGACAAAAATACTTCTATTAGTATGGTGTAATATAAAAGTAATGACAATAATATATTGTAAGTTGAAACAGTATTTATTATGTGAAGTAGGTAGTATAATTACTAAATTATGAAATGATAACCTTATTTTGGAATAGACGAAAATGGAAAATGATAACCTTTCGATGAGACGGATGGAGTATATATATATATATTTAAATATTCACAACTATTAAATCTTAATACAAAGTATTTATAAAAAATATTAAATATTCGATTGAATAAAACATGAATAAGTTAATGAACATGTAGAGACAAAAGTTTGTGTTATCTAAGATGACTGAATATCGGAAATAGAGATACTGCTGCTGGCTCACTATACGTTCATACATACGGCGCAAAGTATTTCCCTGACACCCTGGATGACACGTGGCAGGGTCATGGGTAGCGACTCGAAGTCCGATGGCACCCCATGGGAACGCCCATCTCCTATCACGAGCCTCATACTGCAGCCACCCAATGGCGCGAGTTGAGTCACGTGATTGATTGTCTGCGCACGTGCATCGATGTCCAATGGCGTGCTCTTCTATGATCCTTACCGCATCCACTTGTTGCAGACTTGCAGTATATATAATGGAAATGAATACCCACAAACATACAGTCACTAGACATCAATACATCTGCTGTAAGAACTGTAACATCATGTGACCTGATCTTTTTATTTATTTATTTATTTGGTACTCGATAATCATCTCCTAGCACAACCATTAGCTAAAATTAATACTTTCTCCGTCTCACGTATCTTGTTTGTTAACACAATAAACACGATATTTTAAGAAAAATATAATTAATAAATAATTAAAAATATATTAATAAAAATAATTATCTTATAATATAAATAATTATAAATTAAAATGAAACGACAACGTCAAAATAATATGTGGGACGAAGGAAGTATTTCATTTTCTTCTTATTTACTGTTTTTATATTTTACTTTTGCTTATCTTAATTATTTTGTTATTTTAATTTTTTTTAAAAATTATATACTCCAAATTTTATTTTAATTTTTTTAATTAATTATAATATTATTGATTAATAATTATTTTTATTATATTATACTATTTTTATTAATATATTTTTAATTATTTAATAATTATATTATTTATCAATTTTTGCAGTTATATTAAAGTGAACATCACAGTTGAAACGGTAAAAATAATAATAAATCTAGACGATATACATTACATTTTTAATATTAATATAAAATTTTTTCAACTTGTCGGAACAATGATCCACTTGATCCCGTTCAAGTTCCAACATATAAATTCAGAAATTTTATAATTGTGCTTTATATTTTAGTACACTAAAATTTATTAATATTTTCAATTTTAATATAAATTATAATTAATTCTCGCCTAAAATGCAAATATTCAATATTTAGTTATCAAGTTTCTTTTAATTACGTAATTTCACAAATCAAATAACAACTTATTGAAAAACAAGAGTAGAATTGTACTCCCTCTTTCATTCCATATAATTTGTTCGTAATTTTTTTTTTGTTCGTTCTATATAATTTTTCTTTTTTTTTCTTGAAAATATAATTATAAATTTTAATTTTATTTTAAATTTGATAATTTTTTTAATTTTAATTAAACTATTTAATTATTCTAATATTAATTTATAATTATTTTTATTAATATATTTTTTAATAATTTATTAATTACACTCTACCTAAATTCAAGTATCTCTATATTAACACGTCCATATTACATAAGACAGAGGGAGTCCAAGATATAAGGAGAACATACACCAAGGCTATAACGCCAAAAAAATATTTTGGATTGTGTTTGTTTTGCATTTTAAACTCAAAACTAAATTATTCAATTCGAACAATTTTAATAAAAAAAAATTTACAAAATATATATCAAAATACTTTATTTATACAAAAAATCAAATAAAAAAATTCAATTTGAATTCCAAATCAAACTACTATTTGATCTTACACCAAAATTTGTAACTTACTATTCATAATATTTATACAACTTTATATGTAGTATTATTTACTAATATTTTAATTTCTAAAAAAGATATAAATAGGCTATCTTTTACTGTACAAATACTAAAATATATTATTATTATTATTATTATTATTATTATGTTGACTATACGGACTAACAAATGAATATATTGCATCACTTTTTGTCCGCATTTACCTATATGAACATATAAAAGAAAAAACAAAAAAAACTTATCATTAGTTTGTTCGTCTTCAATGCTTCTAAAATATGCAAATTAAAAAAATATGTATAATTATACAGTAAATTAACAGAGTAAAACACGGGTTTCACATCAAATTGATAAGACAACATATCTCCTTTTATTTTTTTCTACAAAATCAATTAACGATTGAACTGTTTTCATGCGCGCCACAAAAATAAAGACTTCAGTATAATATGTCATATTATTGCGCATAGCCCTTAATTATAATGACGTACTTTACACTTGTCTACTTCATATTTTCATTCAATTTAATTTTATACATTCATCTTACTCCAACATTTTTTTTCCACTCCCATAGGCAATTCAATCAAACATTTGAAAATCAATTACGATAGAACTGTTTTCATGCGCGCCACAAAAATTAAGACTTCAGTATAATATGTCATATTATTGCGCATAGTCCTTAATTACAATGACGTACTTTACACTTGTCTACTTCATATTTTCATTCAATTTAGTTTTGTACATTCATTTTACTCCAACATTTTTTTTCCCGCTCCCATTGCAGTCATTGTTGTTCTTCAATTTTCACTTTTAACTGCATATTCATAACTGATAAGATCAGAGCCAAATATTTGACAATAAAATATCGACAAATACCATAAATGATACTAAATTTCATCAACATCAAACAATCTGTTGCCAGTCTCGTAATCTCTCATTCAAGTTAGTGGTCTTCTATTACATGCACTATTTACAGAAGAACTTGCTTCGCTGTCAGCAATATGCTCCTTTGCCAATGATGTTTTAGTATTCATTTCTGATATTTCTTAA